GCACCCCCCGTTCACACCTCTACTCCTCCCAGCTCCTCATCCCCCGTGGTATTTATTATTTATTTCCCTCTCCACCCCCCTGGGGACCCCAGCTTCCCACCGCACCCCCAGCCTACCCCAGAGGCCTTGCAGGTGACCGGCGGCGTCAGTGTATTTATATACAGAGCTTATGACTTTAATTTTTCAATAAAGAGATCCAAACAAGATTAGGGTCCAACGTGCTGTGTGGCCTGCCTGTGTGGCTGGGGTTTTGATCGTTCCACGTGGAGAGGGCGTGGGTAGGACAGAGGGAGGCGGCACAGCGCCCCACACTGCCACGCTCTCCCCTTACCCCCATGCACGGCTCAATCTGGGACCCACAGTGGGTGGCGGGGCACCTGAGCATCTTGGAGCACCTTACTTGAAGGTGGTGCACAGAGAGTACCTGTAGATTAAGACTGACAGGCGTGTTATGGGGCCGAATGCACCGTGTGCAAGGATGTTTCAACACGGACAGGAGGCCCATCTTAGGGCGGGTCCCAGGGTCTGACTCTGAGATTGTTACTGGACACAAACACAGATTCTTTACCTGCCACACAAGAGGCGCCAAATAAAACAGGAACGCCAGGCCTACGGCAAGGAAAGGGTTTTATTTTAGGTGACATCAGCCGGGAGACGGGAGTGAGCCCTCAAATTCCTCTCGTCTCCCCAAAGCATGGGAGGCAAGGGTTTTAAAGGTTTTGAGGATTGCGGCTTCTTGTAGGGGTGGGGAGCCTGTGGCCTTGCTGGTTGGTGCTTTCCCACTGGCCTGCGTTTGGCCTTGTGAGGCTGCTTGCAGGAGCGGGGGATGGCAAGATAAGGGAATCTGCGGGTGGGTATCCTTGGTTGTCTGCCTCCATGGCGGATGTTGGATTCTGGTGCCAGGAAGCTGAGGAGTAGGCAGGGAAAGTGGATGGGTGCTTTTGGTTTTAACCCCGTATGTGCTGGGTTTGATGCAGGGGAACTGGTATCAGGGCCAGCATCAAGATGAGGATCTGTATGCAAGTGATCCAGTAAGGAACGGGCAGCGGGGAGGCCAGGAAAGGAGCAGGGGATCAGGAGGGAAGCCAGGCAGGGTGGGACTTCAGGCAAAATCCTGGGAGGGCAGGGCAGCTGCAGCCCCATCCCACGGGGGACGCGGGAGTGTGACTTGGGCCTAGAGGGGGGACTCAGGTGCAGGGGCCAAGGCTTCCATGCTGTCAGTCTGTGGATGAGGCCTGGGGGACGGCGGAGAGGCAGTAAATTCCACTCACTTCCCACCCTCTACCCGTGCAGGCCGAGCTGTTCCAGGAGCCAGGGCGGTGGGTGGCAGAAGCAAAAACACAGAGAGAGGGGCAAGGAGGGAGGAGGGCAAGCAGGGCTCTGCCACACAGCCCCAGCACCAGCCTGGTGCCCATTTCCTCCATCCCCAGGGTTTCTGTGGGGCAAGAGAGTTTGAGAAGTCCTGCTCTGTCCAGCCCTGTGCCCAGGGGTCTGCCAGAAGTGGGCTGGGGGCAGTTGATTCCACAGCCTTGCCCCAGATCTTGCTCTCAGCTGCCCCTGTCCCCTCCCCAGCCCAAGGAGACCACCTGAGGCCGGAGCCCTGGATTCCACTTGACCTCCAAAGCAGCTGGTATCCCTGAGGGCTCCACCCCTCCCAGGGGACTCCATATGCCCCTTCCCAGTCCTAATAGCCCTGCAGGGACTAACCGTGACCTGGCCACAGGAGCCCCAGCTCTCCCAGCATCAGACCCCAAATCCTGTGTGGTCATAGGCAGGTGATTTCATCCTGAACCCAATTCCCCATCTGGAAAATGGGTGTGGTAGGCTGAGTAATGGCCCCCAAAGATAGCCAGATTCCTGGAAGGTGTGAATGTTACCTTATACGGCAAAGGGACTTCACAGAAATGATTAAGGCAGTTAGGCGGGGAGCTTATCCTGCATTGTCTGAGTGGGCCCCGTGCAATCATAAGGGCCCTGGGAAGAGGGGGCCAGAGGGAGATCTGACACAGAAGAGGAGAAGGTGCCGTGATGCTGGGAGCCGAGTCTGAAGATGGAGGAAGGGACCACGAGCCCAGGAATACAGACAGCCACTAAAAAAGCTGGAAACGGCAAGGAAATGGATGCTCCTTCAGAGCCCGCAGCAGGAACCTAGCCTGCTGGCGCCTTGATTTTAGTCTGTTGTCCCTGACTTTGGACCTCTGACCTCTTTTTGTAAGAGAACGAATTAGCGTTGTTTTAAGCTGTGAACTGGCGGCAATTTGTGACAGCAGCCACAAGAAGCGAATACCACGGGGAAGCTGCCCCTGATGGAGGCTGGGATGCTGTGTGTGGGCCACGCACCAGCTCAGAGTCAGCCCCAGGGGATGACGGCAGTCGGGACGAGGGTGAATGAAGAAATGCCACCCCTTTTCCAGGCCCGAGTCCTTGTGCCTCGGTTCTGAACCGAGAGGTTTTCATCTATCACTGGCTCACTGTGAATTTCAGGCCAGTGACTGCCCTGCTCTGTGAACTCTGGGCAGGTCGGGATGGCCTGTGCCTTGAACCGGCTGTTTCCCCACCCGGTCCAACCCCAGGGGACAGAGAGCCCCCCGCAGCTGCTGCCCACGGTCCCAGGTTTGTACTCTGAAAAAAGTAAGAGTTTCTGAAACTGTTGCCTCTGAAATTCCTGGGGCCGCCTCCAGGGCCGGGGCCCATTGGGTGCGAGGGCCCCCCTCCCAGTGGGATTTTAGACCTAAAAAAATTCCTTTGCAAGGGGGCTTAGAAAGGTCAAGTGGCTTGGCCAAAGTTGCATCATTAGCGAGTGGTAGAGGACGAATTTGGACCCACGGCTGCCTGAGGTCCACAACATGCAGCCAGGGACAAGCACGTGTCCTGTTGTCTTGTGAAAGGACGCGATGCTATGGGCTAAGGCAGCTTTGAATATTGGGGGAGGGAGGCGCACCCGAGGTCCACCTGGCCACGAGAACCTGTGGCCCTGACATCTTTACTCATGTTGCCAGAACTTGGGGGAGAGGTAAGGCTGGAGTCCCAGGGTCAGCTGCTAGATGAAGGACGAGGCAAGGGGAGAGTGAGTTTTTGCCTTGAGCCAGGATCTGCCCAAGCAGGGGCCCAGTTGGCCTTCAAGTCACCTGAAGCCCTCTCTGCTTGCCCAGAGTAGCCTGATGTGGGGAGCACAAGGACAGAGAAGGCACAGCTCAAAGAGTGCCCACCACAGAGTGTGACACCTGGGATCAATTCCACCTCCACTACTTCCTGGCTGTGTGATCTTGGGAAAGTCATTTAACCACTCTGAGCCTCGATTTCCTCATCTTTAAATGGGGAGCATAATGCTTACCTAACTTGAAAATCATTTTCAGGATTAGCTAAAATGTTTGCCCCTGGCACACAGTAGGCCTTTAGTGAACAGAAGCTGCTAGGATGGTTACCATGAGATATGTGTGTACATGGTCACGGACAACCTGGGGAACTGAGAAGAGCTTTTCTAAGAGGAAAGAGAACAGGGCTGCAGCACAGCTGCACGTGGGACCTCAGGCAAGTCACTCCTGTCCCAGGGGCCTATTACCATACCCTCGCTGTGAAAGAGGATTGGTGGAGGAGCTCTCTAAATTAGCGCCATTGATTGATTTTTGATAGGCCTGGGTCTCTGTTTTTAATTATTCCCATCAGCTACCCTGTGAGGCGGGAGTCAGGAGTTTGACGTTCAGTGGCCGCCAGTGGGAGAACTGGGACGAGAGCCTAGGCCAGTGTGACAGCTGACACCGCCACCTGGAAGGTGCGCTTTCCGGGGACAGTGGGTGATTTCTGTCCTGCCTTCACGGAGGCACGTTGGGCCAGTTCTCGTGTCTCTGAGCCTGGGTTTCCCCGCATGTCTAATGGTGGTTTGGACTAAAATACACCTGGGGTGGGGGAAATGACAATACCCACCCGCCCCATAGGAGAGGACTGAGCATAGCGAAGAGCTCGCATAAGTGTGCAAGAAAAGTTGATTATTACTACCGTCTCGAAGCGGTCCGTTTCAGCCACGAAAGTTTGTGATTCGTGGCTCGCTGCGGCTCCGTGCGACCTTGCACAAGGTCTTCGCTCGCTCCGGGCCTCGGTGTCCCGTCTGCAGCCGGGCGGGTCCCGGGCGGGGCACGCACCCTCCCGGATCTGGGCGATTTCCAGTCCCGGAGCCACGGCCCAGTCCTTGGGGGCGGGCCCCAGGCAGCCGTCTCTCTGCGATTGGTGGATCCTCCAGAGGCCACGCCTCCCGGGGGGCCGCGCCCCGCCCGTCATAGGCCGGCCTCGGGGATTATGCAAAACGTCGCCGCCCCGCCCCGCGCCCCGATTGGCGGCCTTTGTTTGCCGCTCAACTCCAGGAACCAGCGGCGCGCGGCGGGCGGCCGGCCGGCAGGTGAGCGGCGGGAGGGGTCCGGCGGGTCCCGGGCGGGCGCCGGCGCCGGGTGGGGTCTCAGTTTCTCCGTCGGGGGAATGGGGAGGGAGCGTGGACGGCGCCGGCGGGCTGCGATCCGCGGCCACGGCGCCGCTGTCGGGCTCTCCCACGTGGGCACCCCACGCGCGCGGGAAGGAGACGGATGGCCGCTCCGGGAATGGGAGGGGGCCCCGGACGGGCGATCGGGGTCCGAGTCCGACCCTGCCGACCGCGGGGGGGCCGCAGTCTCCACCCTCCGACCTCAGTCTCCGCCTCCGCACGATGGGGGCGTTGGCTGCGTCTCTCCGGCTGGGGCTGGTCGCAGGGAGGGCGCAGGGAGGGGAGGGGTCCCCAGGGAATCCGGGGGGTGGACCTTGGCGGGGCCTCGGGCTGTGTTTGGGCGGAGGTGTGGCCCGGGTAGCTGTGGTTACCCGGGAGGTGGGACTTCTCGGTCCTGCGATTTGCGTGAGGCTTGCTCACCCGGCAACAACCCGCGCAGTCTGACAACTCGAGCCGCGCGCCCTCCCCGGACGCCTAACGCAAGTTTCTTTTCCTCTTTTTGGCAGGGGGAGGGAGAGCGAGGCCCAGCGGGAGGGTGGGCAGCCCGACAGCGGGAGGAACTGGAACGGACTGCAGAAATCGGGCCAGCCTCTCTTGGTGCACAGCTGGAGAGACTGAGGCCCAGAGAGGGGGCGCGGTTTGCCCAAGGGCGCACAGCAGGCCAGGCGCAGAGCTGGCTTCTCCCCAGGGTGATGGGGCTGGCGGCGGCAGAGCCAGAGCCTGTTGCCGTGCGACCCTGGACGGGACTTTTCCCTGCTCCTTTCCCTGGTTTTTGTTGAAAGTCATGACAGGTTGGAGCGGATCATTGCCTAGTTTCAAAACCTTCTGCTTCTGGGTGAGAAAGTTGGAGAGGAAGGTTGCTGATAACAAACCGGAGCTATTGGGGTGCTGAGGAGAGAAACTGAGACAGGCTGCGTGAAAAGAGACATTGTCCCTGTCCTCTAGAACAGAACGAGAAGAAATGGCCCAAACTGAAGCACGAAGGACTGAGGTTAGATACGTACAGGGACTTCCCAAGAGCCTCCTCTTTAGTTGGTGCGTTTTATTTTTTTGGCTGTTGGTTTCGTTTTGTCAAGCAAACAGGATTTCTGCCCAGCCTTCTGAACGGTCTAACTGTGGCTTGGGGGATGGAGCCCATGGTGTTTTGGGGACGATTTGGGTTTCTTCCCAGCAGCGATCCTGGCTTTTCCGCAGGAGGGAGAAGGTCCCTTGTGGGGACCCTGCCTCCCGGAGGCAGCGGTTTGCGTTGGAAACATGTGATTTGGGCTGATTGTTGCAAGGGGATTTCATCAGCTCCCACCGGCCTGCAGGGCTGCCGGGCGCCGGGGTTGGGGTTTCCAGAGAGACCGGAGCCGCCCGGCCCCGCAGCCGTCGTGCTGAGCGGGTGGTTTGGGGACGGCGGGCACGGCCGGAGCCGTTTACCCCGTGAGGGAGGAGAGAGCGTCTTTCTAAGGCAGCCAGCTGCGTCCCCAGCGCGGTCCCAGGTCCCCTTCTGCTTCCCCAGGCCCGGGACGTGGGGCAGATCTGAGGTCGGGAGTCAGAGACTGTGGTTCAAATCCCCAGCCCAGCTTGGGCTCTGAGCGCCTCAGTTTCCCCCTCCGTAAAATGGGAGTGGGAATGCCCACCTCAGTGCCACCGTAAGGCTCAAGGGAGGTGGCATCCTGGGAAGCTTTGCTCCGCCCGCATTCTAAGTTCGGAGATGAGGAGGCTGAGGCCCCAGGAATTTACTGCAAGGAGTGAGGGCTGAGAGGGCAGAAGCTGTTGTCTGTTTTATCCCCGGTCCCCAGCCCTACACATGGTGTCCCATACACTGTTGTGGATTGCCTCAGTTATATCACTTAGTGTTCACATTGTTGCCATGGATGGGTGCTGTTGTCCTCCTTTTACAAATGAGAAGCCTGAGGCTCAGAGAGGTTAAGTCATTCACCTGCGGCCACACAGCTCTTCTTTGGGTTTCGTCCGTCCTTACTGGGGGATGTTGCAGGAGTGTGTCATCTGATGAGAGCTGACTGTGTGCCTCTCTTCCCCCGCTTGCTCAGTGGTACCATGTTGGTGGCTTGAAATTGGCCATAGTAAGGGTGTTTATACTATGGAAATCAATAAATGCCACATCAGGACTTTTTCTTTTCTTTTCTCTTTTTAAGAGAGTTGCATGTGAAGGGTGTTGGGGGATGGAAGGCGGTCCTTGCTCTGCATGGCAGCTAGGAGTTGAGGGTTCCTGGTGGTGCGGGAAGCCCCAAGAGAGCCAGGCCACGAGGTCCACGCCCCGCGGCAGCTCCCTGAAGTGTGGGATTTGGGAAGGAAGCCTTTATGAGAGGTGGCTGCTCGTCTGTGATGCCAGCAGCACATCTCTGTGACTTGGGGACAGGTTAGCAGGGACCTGAATTTCAGGTCAAAACGTCTGGCCTCTAACCTGAGGGTGACAGCCGTGGACGGTCTTTAAGCAGAATGATGCTCTAAGAAGATTTACCGGGCAGCATGTGCCGAGGGATTGGAGGCTGAGTCGGGGGTGGGCCGAGAGAAGAGGCGCTGGTTGGCCGGAGGAGCCCCGAGGAGGCTGACAGCGCCCCCCCGTGCTCAACTGGGCGAACGCCTTGTCCCGTGACTTCACTCTGAGAGGAGGGTATCAGAGATGCGTGGAAACACGTCTACGGTCAGAGCTGCCGGAGTTGGACCCAGGCCTTTCTGCCCCCAAACCCTCGAAGTGTTACTTCCTCGGTGCCCCCTCCACCCCAGCCCACAGTCCCTTCTTGGCTCTGATCTTCCTTGCCAGGCGTCAGCCGAACTCCAGCTCGGGTGCTGAGAGACCCCCTGCTCCCAGGGCGGCCCACGCCGGCCCCGAGAGCCTGGTCGGCATCCTCCCCTTCGCCCCTCCTGCTGAGCCTCTTGTGGGGGAAGAGCCGGCGATCAAAGCCAGAGTGGGATGCTCAGCTGTCAGTCTTCTCCGAGTCGTGGGACCACAGCCAAGGACCAAGGACCAGGAAGGGCCTCGGGGTCCAGGAGGCTGCACTCAGCCCCCCTAAGTCAGGGATTCCTTTGGAGGGTAATGCTTTACTTGTGGGTGCAGACTTAACTGTGCTCCTCATGTGCTCTGTGACTTTGAGCGAGTTGTGTAACCTCTCTGGGCCTTTCCTTGTCTGTTAAACGCCTGATGACAAGGCTCCCATCAGACAGCACACACTGTGCCCTGAAGTGTTAAATGGCTGAGGCGGGGGGCTGATTGCTTCTTTCCTTTTTGTGATTTTCACACATTCCTACATGGCGCATCGTGGCTATATGTGCAAGAAAGAATGCACAGTATCAGAGTTTAAAAAGAGAAAGATGTGGGATGGGAGTTGTCACAGAATGTCACCGAATGTCACCAGATGTCAGAGCTGCAAAGAGTTTCACAGAGCCAGGCCACCCTTCCCAACTTTCATGGGCGGGAAACTGACAAGGGGCGTGCCCCAGGCCTCAGAAGAATGGAGCACTTCACAGATGTGCTCAGTGATGGCTTACGTTTGTTTGGGGTTTTTTTGGTTTTTTTTTTAAGATTTTATTTTTTTCCTTTTTCTCCCCAAAGCCCCCCAGTACATAGTTGTATATTCTTCGTTGTGGGTCCTTCTAGTTGTGGCATGTGGGACTCTCCTCAGCATGGTTTGATGAGCAGTGCCATGTCCGCACCCAGGATTCGAACCAATGAAACACTGGGCCGCCTGCAGCGGAGCGCGCGAACTTAACCACTCGGCCACGGGGCCAGCCCCTGTTTTGTTTTTTTAAGAATAGTAAATATTGGGGCTGGCCCGTTGGCGCAGAGGTTAAGTTCGCACATTCTGCTTCGGTGGCCTGGGGTTCACTGGTTTGGATCCCGGGTGTGGACATGGCACCGCTTGGCAAGCCATGCTGGGGCAGGCGTCCCACATATAAAGTAGAGGAAGATGGGCACGGATGTTAGCTCAGGGCCAGTCTTCCTCAGCAAAAAGAGGAGGATTGGTGACAGGTGTTAGCTCAGGGCTAATCTTCCTCAAAAAAAAAAAGAATAGTAAATATTTGTTTTACTCTTATTTTTAAAGCAACTCTTAGTTTTAGCAAATACACGTAAGGATAAAGAATAAACTTGCCTATAGTTCTACCAGTGAGTGGTGATTATTGTAAATAGTTTGGAGCACCTTTGTCTCTCTTTTTCCCTTCCTCCCTCCCTCCCTCCCTCCTTTCCTTCCCTTCCTCCATATTTCACTGTTTTTTTCTTTAATGGACTCAAACTAGATCTATATTATATTATAACCGGCTTGTTCACATAACATATCACAATTTTTTACATCACTTCATTTTCTTCTACCGTTTGACTTTTAATAGCTGCCTGATCTTCCTTTGAGTGGAGTTATAATTTATTTCAACGATCCCCTGTTACTGGACAGCGAGGTTGTTTCCAGCCTTTTAACCCACTTCGAGGTTCAGTCGCAAAGTGGTTAAGATCGTACTGTCTGGATTCAGACAGCTCGGTTCAAACCCAGCCTCCCCTCCTGTGAAGCGGGCGTAACCGTTCTCCCCTCCTTGGGGTGGCATGAGGTTAAATAATTGCGTCCTCAGCCGCGGAAAGGCTGTGACATCGTAATGCTGTCAGCAGTGCCTCCCTGGCACATGCACAGTTTTTCGTCTGCTGCTTTTCAAGGGGCGTGAATTTCGGTGTGTATGTGGGTGTGAGGTGGGTGTGTGCGTGCTTGGGTGTGTTTTCCTCCCGGTGGCCACACCTTCCTCGTAACCCACGGTTCAGTTGGCTGAGGAAGGCCCGTTTCCTCCCCCCCTTAACTGTTCAGGGCAGGGACACAGCTGGGCCAATGACCCCTGCAGGTAGTTGGGGGCCCCAGGGAAGAGGGTCCCAGGGTGATGGCACATTTTTCTCCACTTGGGGAGGCTGGCTGTCCCTTTTGGGTCCAGGACCCAAAGCTGGATCTGTGGCTGATACTGAGGAAGCTCCAGAGCCTTGAAGATTAAACTTGGTCCTGCAGGGAGCAGGCCATATGGGCGTTTCACGGATGTGGCCAGAGTCATTTGTGGGTGAGCTCTGTGCCAGCTGGGCACTGGGCCAGGACATAGGCATGCAGTCTCCTTTCTCATCCCAAGGAAACTGTAAAGTTAGTATTACCCCTCATTTTACAGATAAGGAATCTTGGGTTCAGAGAGGTTAAGCAACTTACCCAAGGCCACACAGCTTTCAAGAGAGAACCTGGAGGTCTCTGCCCATAAAGCCCATGTGCCTTCAATCCCTGCGGCCTGGAGCCTCCCATGTTCACGCGTTTCTGCTTCCGTGGGCAAGTGGAATCAAATGAACCCGGGAGACTGAGTGCTGGAAGGTCATTTCTGAGACCCCCAGAGAGAATCTCATTAAGCCCCAAGGTTACAAAGCTAAGAGAGGGGAAGATGCTTGTCCAGTGTCACTCAGGCTGGAACACGGGTCTCCACTTCCCAAGCCAGGCTTCCGCTGGTTCGTCTCGGTCCCCTCTGAGACCCTCACCATCTCCTCCGCCCCTCTGGATTTTAACTGCGGGGGTAAATGCAGCCACCTGGGCCGCAGGGAGTGGGCGACTTCCGGGTGGGGTTTCGTCTCTCTCCCAGGGCCAGGAGGTGTTGGGAGCTCAAGGAGGGCCGAGGACGGAATAACCTCACCTTCGGCCCCCAGGATCCTGAAGTTACCCGCCCCTGGTGCCCCCCAGGGTGACTGAGAAGACTGATGGTCCCACAGTACCCCTGGGCATCTCAGGACCTTGTGTGCAGGAGTGACTGACTGTCCAGGGCTCGTCACGTCAACCAGTGATGGCCGTCCGGTCCTGGGCCGTGTCCGGGGCGGCACTGGAGGCTTCAAGACAGACAGACTCACCTGCAGTGTGGTCGCCGTGCCGGCACCTAGCGGGGCTCAGGAGTGACTGTGGAGGGAGGGAGGACGGAGGGGTGGTGGGGCGGGGGGCAGTGGGACAGCGGGTGGCGTTAGAGCATTGTGACCCAGGGGCCAGAGGGGACAAATGGCCAAAGGCTCGATGGGCTCCTGTGGTCAGCACGGCAGGATGATGAAGACACAGCCGGACGTGGGCAAGATTCTGGCCAAAAAGTACTCAGGCCTCCTAATGGGGCCCAAGGTGTTTTGTTTGTTTGTTTTTCCTGGGTGACCGGGCACAATCGCTTCCCCATCTCTGAGCCTCAGTTTCCCCACCTCTACGATGGCCTCCTCCACCTGTCCTGCCTGCTTCCCAAGGCTGGTCTTAAGCACTGAGGGCTTGAAGGATGAGAGAGCGCTTTAGAAAACCAGCAGGCTCTGTGTGGGGCCAGAGCCTCTTATCAAGTTAGAACCCGGGTCTCATCCGGCCTGGGTAGCAGCGCTCTCCTGCGGGCTGTGACAGTGCGAGCACCGAGCGTGGTCCTTCAGAGTCAGTCTTTGTGGATTTGAATGTCCGCCGGCACTCGCTGGCTCCGTGACTGTGGGCGAGTTGCTTGGCCTCTCGGGGACTCAGTTTACCGGCCTGTAAAACGGGGACGTCACACCGGCCACGCTGGGTAGTTGTGAGGGCCGAAGCCGGGCTAGGCTCGGGCTGGATTCCGTAGATCACACAGCGTTTGTTTGCAGTGCCCTGACTGCGGGTCAGGACCTGTGCTGCATGGGCACTGCCATCACCAGCGCTTCCCAGAACCCCGTCGTCAGGGAGCCAGACCTGCCGCTACCTCCACATGGTGAGTCCCCGGGGAGGCCCCCCCACCTCCCAGCGCCCAGGGCTGAGAGCTACAGGTCGCCTGGAGTTAACAGGGAGAAGAAGAGTGGGGTTGGGCGATGAGGAGAGCACCGTGCGTTTGTCCCAGGAATGGCACGGAGCCCGTGTGGCCAAGGGAGGGTGGAGGGGGACCGGTGGAGGGAGAGGAGGCAGGGTGGCTGCCAGGGGACGGAGTCCCTGCATCTTTCTCCGCGATGGGCAGCTCTCCGAGTGTTGCAGGCACGGAGCGGCTGGGTCTGGACGCTGTTGTCTCGGGAAGACGCCTTTGGTGAGTGAGAGGAACAGATGGAGGAATGCAAGAGCTGTCCGGGAAGGGCACTTGCAGGAGGGCTCGTAGGGGCGCGGAGATGGGCAGACCCTGCTGAGCTTGAGGAAATAAACTCAGTCGGAGTTGCCGATGTCTGGTGAGGGGCTGTCAGGGAGAGGCAAGTGTCCAGGATGACAGTCGGTCTGGCTTGTGCACCTGGGAGCGTCCGGGGAGAGATGGGCGTGGAGGGCCCCGTTTCGGACGTGTAGCTTCAGTTAAGTAGAATTCGGCCTGTGGGTGGAGATGGTGCCTGGAGGAGGCACCGCACGGGCAAAGGCAGGGAGGAGGGGGTTGAGGCTCGGCGGTGGCGAGGAGATGGAACAGAGTGTGCCGCACAGAAGGCTGTTTTCCGGGGGGTTCGGAGCCACCCTGAGATGAGTTTGGGGTTATCCAGGGGCCAGGGGGCGTGCCTGGCAGCCACCTGGCGTTGATGGCAGTCCTGCCTGGGTTATTGGCCAGGGAGGGAGGGCAAGTGAGTGACGGGTGTCAGGGGAGCCCGCCCTTCGCACAATGGCCCACAGGGTTGCCGGAGCTGGCAGGGAGGGGCCTCATTAGGGTTTGGCTCTGCTCCACGTGGGGCTGGGGGCTGTGGGTACAAGGCAGGGAAGGGGGTGTGGGGGGTGACTGTTGGAGGAGGGTGCCTGGTTCTGGCCCTGGCTCTGCCAGGTTGTCACAGGTGGACCTCGGGGAAGTCCATTCATTCATCCCTTCATTCATTCATGTCCCAGGCCCCTGCTCTGCCCTCTGCAGGGTTGGGCTGCTTGAATCCGGGCAGCAGCCCTGTGGGCTGGCTACTCTCCTGATCCCCATTTCTCAGATGGAGAAACTGAGGCTCAGAAAGTTGGAGCCTGAAAGGTCACAGAAGCAGCAGGAGGCGGGGCGGGATTGGAGCCCAGGTCTGCACTGACTCTCAGATCCCCTTTTCTCTCCACGCTGGTGGTTCCCAGACCTGGCTGTGCAGGTGGATCACCTGGAGGGCTTTGGGGGCGACACAGAGGCCACAGTTTTTTCCTTTTTCTTTTTGTTTCCTGAACCGGAATCCCTGGCTCCTGGGCGGGGCCAGAGTGGGGAGCCACTTACGGGGCCTGGAGCCCGAGCTGCTCCCCCCACCCCACGCCCCCCATCTCCGGCTTGGCTCGCTGGCTCTGGGCACACAGCTTCGCTGTTCCCCAGCTGGAAAGCCCTTCCAGAATACTCTGCCGCCAGCCCTTCTTGTGGCCCGCTCCTGCCCCTCTCGTCCTTCGGGTCCGTTGCTCGAATGTCACCTTCCTACAGAGACCTTCTTGGCTGTCCCCACACCCTCCTCCCCACCCCGTTACTCTCTGACCTGGGGGTTCTCCACCAGGGCCGCCTGTCCCAGTCCCCTCGGACACTTTAAATTCGCCGATGACCAGAGACTGATTCTGTGGGCCTGGGTGAACCCCGGGCATCAGGATTACCAAGAGCAGCCGGCTGTGGATCCCGACGCCGTTGCCCCCTCCCCATCTTGTTCACAGCTCTCTCTGTGTCTGTTTGTTGTCTGTGTCTCTGCTAGAGTGGAGCCAGGGCTTAGTCTGTCTTGTGCCATATTCCCAGCACCTTGAAAAGCACCCGGCACACAGTAGGAGCTCAGTAAGTACCCGTCGAATGAGAAACAGGACGAGGGGGGCTTGGGAAAAGGCAGCTTACCCTCTGATGAGTCCTGGGAACAACAGGGAACATTTGCCTGATCAGCCAGTTCCGCACTCCATGCCGCCGGGGAAATCCCACAGTAGCTGCAGGCCCAGCTTGGGGCGAGGACAGTGGGTGGGATGGCAGGAGTCATTGCAGCCTCCCTGAGATGTTGGGTCACACATGGGACAGAGCGTCAGGGCTGGAAGGTTGCCAAACAAGCATCCAGTCTGAGCTTGGAGGCCTCATGAGGAAGGGAATCTTGGCCAAGCTCACACCCTACAGGACAAGGGTTGTAGAAAAAGCTCCCAGAGGGTTGAAACTGCTAGAGGCCTCTTTTCAGGCTCAGCATGCTGTGTGACCTTGGCCTCGCCTCTGACCTTCTCTGGGCTTCAGTCCGCCCAAGCCGTATTTTGGCTGAGATGGTCCCCATCCTGCGAAGTTTCCACAAGTCCTTCCTGGGCCTCGCCGAAGCCCTGCACGGGGTAAAGCTCCTCCCGCTCGCTCGCACTCTGCGCAGACAAACCCCCTCCTTCTGACAAACACTTGTAGGAAATCAGTCTGGGCGCTTCCTGCCAGGCGAGGCGGCCGCAGCCGCAGCTGGGGCAGGGGGGCGGAGGCGGGGAGCGATGCTCGGCTGTGAGCTGCTGCTCGGGCTGGCAGAGCAGCCTGGAGGCGGGCCAGCGCGCCATGGAGGCAGGGGGCTCCCCAGGTTTGGAACAAAGACCTCACACGTGGGTCCCCTGAGCTGGGGCCGCGGGATGGTGGTGGAGCCCGAGAGAGGTAGGGAGCTGAGGAGGGCGGGTAGGCCATTCCCTCTGGACGGGCCAGTCACAGACTTTGGGACAGTCCGGGGCGGCTGGACCAGCCCAGCCAGGAAGTTGCAGCTACGACAGCGACAGCTGCGTTACTTCTCTCCCAGAGGAGGGGCACCCGGCGCCCGGGGCCGGGGGCATTTTAGGGGGGTTTTGTCAAGTCTCGGGATGCTGGGTTCCGCTCCGAGCTCTGATTCTGATCTGTGTGCACTTGGATGAGCGCTGGTCCCTCTCTGTGCCTGGGGCGTCCTCAGCTGCACATGCAGAGTTCGTCCCACAGCTGCTAAGGGGCCCCAGACGTGATGCCCGATGAGGAGCAGGCAGCAAGGGGTCCCCCCAACTAGAGAATGGCCCCCTCTGCCACTAAGGGCAAGGAGCGGAGCCAGGGAGGGTCCGGCAGATGCAGCCCAGCTCTTCCGGCTGGCGGGACTGGAGTCCGCAGTAGCCGGGGCATCTTTCCTCTCTCTCCTCGGCCTCTGCTGCTGGAGGGAGCTGGGGGCAGGCGGGGGTACGTGCGGGGGGGCGGTGGCTGGAGGACTCGTTTCTGCACAGCTGGCGGGGACCCCTGAGAACACAGGTCTGTGCTCAGCAGCTGTTCAGGGAGGGCAGCCGAGTTCGGAGGAGCCGGGCCACTTGATATGGGGGCTGTCTTCCTTCCCCTTCCTCTTGCCCCACCCCCAAGTCTGATGGACTTGGTTTCAGAAGCACAGCACCCTGGGGCCACACTTCCTGGCTCGAGGTCCTATGAGAGCCGACCGCTCCTCTGTGGCTCAGTTTCTGCATCTGGGAGATGTCAGGGTCCGGGTGGGAGCAGCGGGGGTGCCTGGACAGCCCTCGCTGGATGGGAAGGGGCTTCAGAAGGCATGGGGAGGCAGCGCCGGGCTGCATGGCGGCAGTTGGCAGAGGAGAAACCAGGAGTTAGAGCCATAAAGGGAAGGGTCCTCAGGCTTGGAGCCGCCGAGGGGGCAGAGAAGCCCTGTGGGGGTGGCCGACCCGCTCGGGAACTGGAGAGAGAGACCACAGGGGTCTCATAGACCCCAAGAGAGAGTCGGGGCAGGGCTGGCGCCGTTGGAGTGGGGAGACTACAAAAGGAGAGGGGACTGGTTGACGCTTCCTTGTGGCGCTGGTCGCTCCACGGCTGGCAGGGGACCCGGACCCCCACAGCCCAGCCTTTGAGGGGACTCAGTGCTAACGGGACTCTCCTGGGCTCAGCCCCTAGTTCACGCAGCTGGAGGCTGGAGCCAACCCACTGCCCTAAGGAAGGCTGGCTGGAGCAACGCTGCCTTTGCCTGCCATTCGAGGACCCCTACCCGGAGCTGTCAAGTTCTGTTCATGCTCTCAGACCTCTGTGCCTTTGCCTATGCTGTTCCCTCTGCCGGGAATGCCCAACTCCGTTCTTCTCCCCCAAATCCCCTTTGTCTCTCAACCCCGACTTAATGCTTCCTTCTTTAATGCCTCTGCTGGAAGGGACCCCCCATTTGAAGTTTTGGAACACTTTTCCTCTTTTCTGTATTCCTTGTGTCTCATGTGGTGCTGGCGCACAGTCCGAGGTTCTTAAAGTTAATTTGTGCCCACCGGGTGCTCAATACTATCTTTGTTACTCTGAAATGGGACCTCAGGGAGGAGGGAGGGGGTTCACGGATCTGAGGCTGTTGCCCCCGGGAGCCGATGAGTCAGCAGGAATCTCAAAGTTCATTTAGCCGGTCCCCTAGCCCCCAGCCCGCCCAAACAGGGCGATACCGCCTTGCGGTCACAAGAGCAGGTGGCATTTCTCCGTTTCACAGTGACGAAAACGTAAGCGCAGCAGTTCACTGTGGAGTAGCAGCACCAGGCCCAGAACCTGGTCTCCGGTCGCCCGGCCTGCTTCTCTTTCACAGCAGCCAACTGAGTGCCTGTCCTTGTCCCAGCCTGAGGTTGCCATGTGGTTGGCACTCATGTGTGTTTGTTGACTGACTAGCTGACTGACCGGCCCCAGGCTCCGTGGCACCGAGGGCCGTGTCTTGCATGGAAGACAGAGTCCTCACTCAGGAGAGGCTCACAGGTTTTGGGGCCTGGGGAGCATGTGCAAAAGTCCAGCTAGGGACCACAACTGCCTCTGACATCAGGCTTCCCCTGGTCACAGTGAGATTTCTGTGATGACTGAGTCATCCCAGGAGACGGGATCTTCCTCTTTGTGCGCCCGGAGGCCTCTGTGATTGGGCAGGCTGCTCTGTGGCTTGGCTAGAAAAAAGCCCTTGAAAAAGTCAAAAAACCACACAACTCCCCCGGCCCCTTGTTTGGCGGAAGTTTCGGAATGAGAAAAGCAACGGGTCTTAGCGCCTCTCGTACCTGCCGTGGTGGCAGGAGCAGAGAGGCCTCACGGGCAAAGGGCGGGCCTTGCCTGGGGCGATGGTGGAAAATGCAGACTCCTGGGCCCTCCCCCAGGGCCACTTTGGGTCAGCCTAGGAATCTGTATTCTCAGAGGATTCGTAAGAACACTGGAGCTTAAGGCCCACCAGCAGGGACTCCCAAGAGGGGCACAGGCCCCCTAGAAAGTGTAGGAAACAAGGATTAGAATTTCTCTTTAAAATATTTATTTTCTACCACATCTTTTAAAAAACCCATTTTTGGATATATTTTTTCTAATGCACATAATGTGTTATGAGAATACGTGTATATAAAGTTAAAAGAAACGTATATTGGGTGCGCCAGCAAATATATTTTGACTAACGAGTTGTGTGATTTAAAAAATTTTTTTTTGGAGAGCACCGGGCCAAAATTGACAGTTCCAAGTCATGCTCTGTCACCAAAGGGTGATCTCGGCCAGGTCACTCTGCCACCCTGACCTCGGGGGAGAAACAGTCCTCCGGCGAACTGCTCACCTGTTCGGGGTTAGGGCAGAGGGAGAAGATGTGGGTACGGCCTCCAGACACAGCCCACAGGTGGGGGTCGTGGGGGGCTCCCAGGGGGACCTGGAGGAAATTCTGGGTGCCGGGGGAGAGGACAGAGGCCCTGTCCAAGGAGACAGGGGGGACTGTTTCCCTGTCTGTCCCCTACCCTGGGGCACTCAGCGCTTCCCTGGCTGCGAGTTCCCTGGGGAACCTTCTGTCCAGAAATAGTTGCCTGCTGACTTTTCTCAATGTGCAAATCGAGGCTTTGACCCTGACGCAAGCGCTCACGAGGCCACAGGGGTGCACACAGACGCGTCTGTTCCTGAGGCCTGGGGTTACCCTCCGTTGTCTCTGGCCCCTGGAGGAAAGAGCCGCGACCTGGGCCGCCAGGTGACCTTCCACCCAGCTTGTCCTGACCCCCGTGGGGCTTCGTGCCTGCCACAGAGGAGGCTCTTGGGGGGGGTGGTGTCGGCCACAGCGGGAGGGTGGGACAGGAGGAGGCGGGAGGAGATGCGAGGGAGAGGAGGGCCCTTCCGCCGCCACAGGTCCCTCTGTGCCCAGGCTCGCCGCGTCTGGTTCACTCTCCTGAGTAGCCGGAGAGACGCTTCTAAGCCGGACCTCGACGTGCTCTCTCCGGCCTGGGATGTGCTTCCAACACCTGAACAGAACCGGGGGGGGGGGGGCGCCCGGGTGGGGCCACCACCTCCCCTTGCCCGCACTGTCTCTGCCAAGGCGCCCAGCCCCTGCCCTGTACCATCGCCATCCATAAACCACTTCTAGAGCGCCCCCCCCTACCCAGGGCCTTTGTGCTCGCTGGTCCCCCTGCTGGAATATGCTCTTTTTTTTGATTGACGTGAACTTCACTTAACATAAAATTAACCATTTTAGAGTGAACAGAGCTCAGCTGCATTTCGTCTGTTTAGAATGTTGTGTATCCACCACCTCTGTCTAGTTCCGAAACATTTTCATCACCCCAGAGAGAAACCTGTGCCCGCTCAGCAGTCACTCCCCATTCCCGCCTCCCTCAGCTCCTGGGAACCGCCAGTCTGCTTTCTCTCTGTGGATTTACCTATTTGGGTTATTTCATATAGAAGGAATCAAACTATTTGTGACCTTTTGTGACTGGCATCTTTCACTTACCATAATGTTTTCGAGATTCACCCTTGTCGGGGGCGGGGGTCAGCCCTCCATTCCTTTTTCATGGCCGAGTAATATTCCACATGTGTGTATACCACAAATTGTTTATCCAGTCAAACATGGAGGAACATTTGGGCTGTTTCCAGCTTTTGGCTCTTGTGAATAGTGCTGCTGTGAACATGTGGGGACATATATTTGTTTGAACCTCTGTTTTCAATTCTTTTGGCTACTGGAATGTTCTTTTCACTGTTCCCCCACTCCCAATCTGAATTGTTACCCGATGGGGGGTTAGGGGACCTTCCAGAGGAAGTGGCTTCACAACAGGACATTCCCCGACTTCCTAGGCCTGCACTGGACCCCTCCCATGCCCCCCATCATTTCTCACCTCGGTTTGCAGTCGGTTCTCCATTCCCACGTGAATGTGGCCTGTGCCCCACGCCTGGAGGCTGCACACAGTGCCCACTGCTAGCACGCCTTGAACACCTGCCGGTGTGCCGGCCGCTGGACCGCTCACCCTCTGTCTCAGGTGCTTCTCCAAACTCTCGCAGGAGAGAATTACCATCCCAGTTTTGCTGGTGAAGGAAGTGAGGGCACAGTGACTTGCCCAAGGTCACATAGCCTCAAGGGGCTGAGCCAGTGTCTCTGATTCCAGAGTTCCTGCTGGTGACTTCTTGTTCTGAAAAGAGGAGGGGACTGGACGAGTAATGCTGTCCTTTGATTGTGTCCCCGCCAGGCTGCAGGCAGGATGGTTGGTGCTGAGAGGAGCCGGCGGTGACTCTGGTGCCCATGGTGGCAGCCCTGTCTCCCGAGGATGAAGCAGCCCAGGTGAAGTACAGGCCGGGCCCCATGGCCAGCTCGGGGACGCAGGTCCACTGGGCCGGGCCGGGCCTGGGGGAGGGGTCCCGGCGGCGGCGCTGGGCCTGGGCCGAGGAGCAGCAGGAGGCGGATGGGTGCGGCCCACACAGCTGGGGAGAGGAGGGCCCCTTTGCCAAGGCCACCAGCCCCGAGCTCCTAGACGACTTCCACCTGGCCCAGCAGCGCCTGCAGCCGCTGGAGTGGGATGCGGAGCCGCGGCCCGACGGGCGCCAGGATTCCGGATCCGGAGAGTCTGCAGGAGAGGGTGAGACTGGCCCCCAGACCCACGTCGGTGACCCCCAAATGTCCCACCTCCTGGCAGGAGGAGGGGAGCGGGAGGGAGTTCTAGAAATTTTTTAAATTACAATCTATGGAGTCCGTGATTAAAAACTTTAAAAGATTTAAATTCCCCAAGTGATGCTGTCCATTGCAGAAAAATCAGAAAATAGGAGCAAAAACAGGAAAAACTAAAAATTACTCTTTTCCATATGCATATCTATACAAATGTAATATGAATATGGAAGAATCTTCTAAACTATCTTGTAACCTGCTTTTCATAACTTAATAGGAGCATTTTCCCAGCTCCTCAAATTGTCTTCCACAGGGCATTCCTGTTGCCTGTGTGGGAAGTCTGTGGTGTGGATGGTCTGTAATTTGTTGGCCAATCTCTTACCGCTGGGCATTTAGGTAGTTTCCGGTTTTTGCTATGGTAAATAATGCAGAGATGAATGTTATTAGTACCTCTCTGTGCACTTGATTTGATAAGATCCTTGCTAATGTAAATTGCTCTGTCCAAGCTTTAGGCCCATTTTAAAATTTTTACAATTCCCAATTAGCCACCGGGAAGGCTGGCACCCCTTGCTTTCTGGAATAACTGTTCCCTTTGCGTCAAGACCAACTTAGACTGAATTCCTAGTCTGGCTGGGCGAGTCCCTGCTCCTCTCTGAGTTTTGGAGTCCCTGTCTGTGAAATGGGAGCGGTAATACCGCTGAGAATAGGAAGAGCTTGTATGTGGTGCCTGTTGTACTGGGAACGGGGGTGAATCGCCCCGGCTCAGGAGTCTGTGAATCAGGCAGGCACCACGTGGATGGCAGAGAAGCCATTAGGCTGATGGTGGCTGATGTCGTTACCCCAAAGGTCCTCATGCCTGGTCTTCTTAAGGTGGGGTTGGCCCACAGCTCCCTGCTTGGGAGCCGTTTCCGAGCTCTCCCTCAGGGCACGGTGGCCGGGATGCACTGGGATGACAGGGCAGGGGCACCTCTTCCTGAGGGCACGTGGTAACCCCTGCTGTGATGTAACAGATGCTGCCTGGCCTGTGCCCTTACTGGGTACCAGGGCACAGGCCACATCTCCTTTTGCCCTCACCACCCTTGGATGGACTAGCCTCCAGCTGGAGTATGGACTCTCAGAGAGGTCAGCTCCTTGCCCGTGGCTCCCAGGGAGGGATCCGAGGAGCCAGGATGGGACCAGGGCTCCCTGGCTCCAAAGCCCACTGTCTTCACCCCATCGCATGACCCCCAGCAGCAGAGACTAACTGGCCTGTGTGGCTGGGACCTGGGTTCTAGGTCTGGGACTGCTCTGAACCACTGTGTGATCTTTGGCAAGTTACTTAACCTCTCTGGGCTTCAAATGTGCTGCTGTAAACAAGAGTGGCTGGCTGAAGGGGATTTTAAGGAGCAGGAAGACGTGGAGGTGCCAAGGGTAGGGGAAAGAGCATGGGGGAGCAGGGAGCGATACAAGGGTTATGACAGAGGTGCGTGTGGCCAGAGCAGAGGCTGTGCTTGGCGGTATCCAGATCGTGTCTCACGAAACCTGAGCTCTATCCCAGAGGCTGACACCGGGTCTAGGACAGAGTGGATGCTAATAAACATTGGCTGCATGGATGATGCATAGATGGGTGGGCGAGTGATGGATAGGTAAATGGATGGATGGGTGAGTGGTGATGGATAGGTGAGTGGGTCAGTGGATAAGTAGATGGATAGATGGATGGGCAGATGATGGATGGGTGAGTGGGTGGGTGGATAAGTAGATGGATAAATAGATGGCTGGGGGGGGTGATGGATAGGTAGATGGATGAATATGTGGGTGGGTGATGGATGGGTGAGTGGGTCAGTGGATAAGTAGATGGATAGATGGGTGGGTGGGTGGTGGATGGGTGAGTGGGTCAGTGGATAAGTAGATGGATAGATGGGTGGGTGGGTGGTGGATGGGTGAGTGGGTGGGTGGATAGGTGGATGGATGGATGATTGAAAGAATGGATGGGTGGATCAGTGGTGAGTGGGCAGGTGGATAGGTGGATGGATGAGTATTTCTTGAGCACCTACCATGTAATAATTACAACAACTATCTATTTTCTGGGAACTTTGAGTACCTTGTTGTCCTCCCTCCCTCCCTTCTTTCATTCTTTCCACTCAGTCAACAAATATTGAGCACCTACTCTGCAAATACAATAGTAAACAAAAACAGAAGGCATCCTTGCCCTCCTGGAGCTTACAGTGTAGTGGGGAAGGAAAAATATTAATGAAACAATCACATGCATAAATGGAAAACTGCAGCTGTATTTCAAAAGAGAAGTATTCAGTCCTATTTAAAGCCTTTCAGATGGAGAATTGGAGCTAGTTAGGGAGATCCGAGACGACTTCCTTGATGAGGTCAAGGTTGAGCTAATGCCTGAAGGACAAATAGGAGTTAACTAGGCAAAGGGAGGGAGAGAAGACCCTGGCAGGGGGATCAGCATGTTCAAAGGCCCTGTGGTGGGAGAAAATGTGGCATGACTAGAGCAGGGAGAGACTGAGGGAGATGGATCAGGAGAGCCAGTGGGGGCCAGAGGCAGGGACCTGAGGACCAGATTAAAGGTTCAGCTCTACCTGGGAACAACAGGAAGGTATTGGTGAGTTTCAGGTGGGAGATGAGGGGGAGGATTGAGATGATTAGGCGGCTACTGCAGTGGTCCAGGCAAGAGAGGATGTTGGCTTGGGCAGAGGTGGTGGTGCTGGACTTCCGAGCAGTGGATAAGTTTGAGAGCTCTGTAGGAGGTGATCGTGACAGGACCCGATGACAGATTGGATTATGGGGGTCAGAGGGAGAGAGATGGCAAAGATGCCTCCCAGGTTTCTGTCTGGTGCAACTGGATGGGATGGTGTCGCCATTTGCTGAGACGGGACACACTGGGGGGACAACCGGGTTTGAGGTTTGAGGTTTGAGTTTGGAGGACCTTTGAGACAACTAGAGGAGGAGTTAGGTAAGGACTTGGCCATATGGGGGGCTCACTGGGGTTCTTGCCATCACTGTGTGATGAGGAAGTGAAAGCCCAGAGGGGTGAGATGACTTGGGCAACGTCACACAGAGTCCAGACCCGGGACCTGCTAAGCGATGACCTGTCATTTCAGAATTCGAAGCAGAGGATGTGGACGGCCCAGAAAGTTCCAACTTGCCTCTCAACTGGCTCCCCCAGCAGCATCCTCAAGCAGACGTGACTGAGGAGGAGCCAGATGAGGCGCTCGGAGGTCCCGAGGTCGAGCCAGCTGGAGAGAGCTCCCCGAGATTGGAGCGTGAGACTGATCTCAGCTCGGGGGGCGATGGAAACGCCAGCCCCGTGGCTCAGGGGTGGAGTCAGGCCACAGGCTGGGTGGCTTCTGGTAAACAAGCCAGTGGAGACAAACTTCCAGAACATTCTGAGGTCAACCCAACTGTTGATCTCAGCTCTGTTAGGTCCTGGAGCAGTGGGACCGTGAGCCTTGACCACCCCAGTGACAGCCTTGATTCCACCTGGGACGGAGACACCAGTGTCCCCCAACCCACCGCCCTGGCAGAAACTTTATCACAGAGCCCCAGCCACCACCTCCTAGATGCGGACGACAGAACTGGGGGAAGCGTTGCTGTGGCAACCCCCTTGGAGTTCCAGGACTCTTCAGCATCCCCGGCCCACAGCCTCCGGTGTCCTGCAGGTGCATGGAGGAGAGAAGCCACCAGCCTCTCCTGCCCTCAGCCCAGGGACAGAGCCTGGAAGCGGACCCGGCCATCACCGAAGCCGCTCCCTTCCCGATTCACCGGTACCATCAGCCCCCTGAATTCTCCGCCAAGGCCCGCCCGGCAGGACAGGCCGCCACCCAGGCAGGGAGCCACTCTGGCTGGCCACTCATCTTCTGATACCCCCAAGTACGGCCGGGGGCGGCTGAACTACCCGCTGCCCGATTTCTCCAAGGTGGGACCCCGGGTGAGGTTCCCCAAAGATGAGAGCTACCGGCCCCCCAAGGCCAGGAGCCACAGCAGGGAGCCTCAGGGCCCTGCCAGGCCGCTGATCTTCAAGTCACCTGCCGAGATCGTGCAGGAGGTGCTGTTGAGCAGTGGAGAAGCCTGCCTGGGGAAGGACCCACCACCCGCCCACCCCATCACCAGGGTACCGCAAGAATTTCAGACACCTGAACAAGCCACCAAGCTGGTCCATCAACTCCAGGTGAGCCGGATTCATTTCTGTAGACGTGTCACCAAGGCACCTGCTGGCCTGGGTTGGAGGCTGAGTGGGTGGGTGGGGGGCCTTGGGGCTGGCCCAGGAGCCCCTTCCTGGTGGAGGGAGGGTTGTACCCCAAGCCCTTTGCTCAGCATTCACGCTGCAAGGGTCGTCCTGTTTGTTTATTTTTAACTTCTGCTGGGAAAAAAATGCAAAAGTTATACAAGGCGAAAAGTCATATAATGAACCCCCTGTACCCGTCACCTGGCTTCCACCCATGTCCCCATCACCCAGCTCCCGGCAACCCTTTTCATCTATGGCCTCACCCCTTACCCGACTCGCCTTACTGGAGTATTTTGAAGCAAATTTCAGGCTTCTAATCACTTTACCCGAAAATATTTTAGCACATACATCTAAAAATAAGGATTTTACTTTAAATATAACCACAATACCATTATCATACCTAAAAGTTAACGCCTGTTCCTTAATAGTGTCCAATAGCCAGTCAGTGTTCAGATCTCCTATGTGTCTCGCAAATGGCTTCTTGGTTTCAGTTTGTTCAAATCAGGGTCCAAACACTGCTCAGTTGTGTTGCATTCCCCAGTGTGTCTTTCAAGTTTCCCCCCACCATCTTTTTTGTGCATTTCTTTTCAAATCTCTTTCTTCCTTGTTGTTTATGTGTTGAGGATGCAGTTCTGTCGTGTAGCATCTCCCACATTCTGGACCTTGCTGATGCATCCTCTGACGTCTCTTCATTTTGCCCTCTCTTTGTCCTGTATGTTGTTGGGCTGGGCTAGAATCTGTTTATTTCCCCTTTAGACCGGGAGCCCCGTGCAGGCAGGGGTGTTTGGGCAAGAGCACGTCATAGGCGGTCCCTTCAGGAAGGATGGGATGCCTGCTGGTCCCTCATTCGTGATGCTGGCGGCCACTGGTGGTCATTGCCTTGATCCAGTCCCTCCAGGCCACTGGGGCGACAGAGTGGCAGTATTGTAACACCGTCATTCTGTCTGCATTGATTTGCCGGAAATCTTTTATAAAGTCAAACTTTCATCATCTATTTGGTTACCAAGGTCTCGCTCTCATGCGAAAGACGGGGAAAATGCTTGATCCTGTCGTTCTCATGACCAGTTTTCAGAACCACGTGCCAGTTCCCTAGCATCCTTCACAGGTGACCAGTGATGGACGTGACATGCTTGAATGAAGCCCCTCCGTTTTGTGTGAGGGAAGTTGTGATTCTGAGCCCATGCAACTGTGATGTGCAAGTCTTCTGTTTTCCCACCAAGGGATCCTTGGATGATTCACTCAGCCATTAAAAAACACTTATGAGGGGCCGGCCCGGTGGCTCAGTGGTTAAGTTTGCACATTCCGCTTCAGCGGCCCAGGGTTTGCTGGTTCGGATCCCGGGTGTGGACATGGCACCGCTTGGCAAGCCATGCTGTGATAGACGTCCCACATATAAAGTAGAGGAAGATGGTCACGGATGTTAGCTCAGGGCCAGTCTTCCTCAGCAAAAAGAGGATTGGCAGCAGTTAGCTCAGGGCTAATCTTCCTCAACAACAACACAAAAACACAACACTTAGGAAGCACATGCTGCTTAATTACGGGGAATAGGGCCGTGGGGAAGGCTGAATGGGCCTGAGCACTCAGAGCTGACAGACGGGCCGGCGGTTGGGACAAATAAGCAAGAAACTGTGCTCCTCTGGAATGGGGGTCATGCATCAAGGTAAACCAGCCAGAGCCTCGCGTCCCAGACTGGTTGTTGGGGACAGTGGATGAGTTGACCTCCTGTCTCTGACACTCTGGAATGTGGGCAGCGGGGTCTGTACTGCACGTGAGTCTGAAGGGGTCTGCTCAGCACCCACCATTGAGCTCTTCCACTTTGAGGAACGCAGAAGCTGCCTTTGGTGGGGTGGGTTCCCTGCCGGGGGTCCCACAGCGAGGAGCCTGGGCGAGTGACCGCGTTGCTGTCCCTTCCTGCAGGAGGACTACCACAAGCTCCTCACCAAGTACGCTGAGGCCGAGAACACCATCGACCAGCTGCGCCTCGGGGCCAAGGTACAGGCTGGGGTGGGGTGGGCGTGTAGGCCCGGGGTCCCCCCAAGATGACACTTTCCCATCGTCTTCAAGAGGGGCCACTGCCTCCTGAGACCCTGGGGACAGTGGAACCCAGTCCTCATTCTACCACAAGGTCCCTCTGTGACCTTGGGCAGCGACCTTGCCCTCTCTGGGCTCAGTGTCCTTTACGGTTGAGGATCTTTGAAGTCCTTGAACCCTAGAATCCGGGGTAGCCAGGAATTTCACCAGAAGCTCTCACCTTCTAGATGAGCTCTGGCATGAGACCACCTGGGCTCAACTCCTGGCTCAATTACTGACTTGCTGTGTGACCTTGAGGAAGTTGCTGGGGCCCTCTGAGCCTTAAGAGAGTAGCACAGAATTTCTGCTCAGCTCTTGGTACTTGTTTCCTGGGCCTGATCCTCCCTGGGTCACACCTTTGCTTTTCTCCTTCCCGGCTGTCTCACCCCCGGCCTGGATGCCCCGTGTGCGGGCAGGGGGAGTATGGATGGGAAATCGATCTGCCTCCATCCCACCCAGCCCCCACCTCGACTTGAGAGGAGGCTGTGAGTTCTGCACTTGGGACCTTCCCCTTTTCTGGGGTGAGACAGGAAGTGGGGCCCCTGCAGCCCCTTGTGGCTTCCTGCTTCCTCTACCCTGCTCTTGCCCCATCAGACAACAGGGAGCAGGGGGGGATGGGAGCTGAGGTGCAGAGATGTGGACCCTCCGTCAGGCTCAGCCCCCTCCCCAGCGTCCCCAGGCTGGCCTGCCCCTGTCGAGCTCCAGGCCCCCTCCCCCATCACAGCGCGGGGTTGGGGGGGGGCGGGGCAGGGAGGGGGCTCTCAACCATCTGGAGGGTTCTGCGAAGTGTGGGCGGAGGCAGCCTTGTTGAGAAGATGAGAAAATGGAAGGGGCCCTGTTCTAGGAGCATGAGTCCCACTTTGTCCCCATACTTGCCTCTTGACCCAGGCAGGTCCCTTCCCATCCCGGCCACCCTGGCACCTCTGTGATAGGGGTTAGTCAGGCCGTCCTCCTGGGAGCCAGCGGCTCTGCCTGATGTCCTGAGGCTCCTTCCAGCTCTCTGCAATGCTGAGTGCGGTTTAGGGGCAGAAGGGAGGGGGTGCTGGGCGAGGACAGAAGAGGGGGCTTGGCGAGGCATCTTCCCCGGGGAAACCACATTCTCATGGCGGCAGACTCCTAGAAGGTCCGAGGGGAAAGGAACTGGTCATCAGGTGCAAACCTTCAGCTCCCGCATCTCATCTTACAGATGGGGAACCAGGTCCCCAGGAGGGGCCGAGGCTGCTGAAGGTCATGGTCAGGGGCAGAGGCTCGGAGCATCTCCTCCCTCCTTCCCTTCCTTCCTCCTTTACTTATTTAAGGGGGTGAGTCAGTATATGGAAAGCATGGAGCTGGCACCTGGCAAGTGCCTCCTACGAGAGGGGCAATATTATTATTACTAACAGTATTAACATGAAGGTGTCTGTTGCGTGCCTGTGTGTGCCAGGCACTGTGTGGGCCCTGGCAGGGGTGGACAGTGTGCTGCCTCCTCTCATGGGCGCTCCCTGACCCAGTGGTCGGGACTCAGGGCCACCCCATATGCAGTCCCCCAGGCCTGGCTGGTGACCCAGACCCCTGTGTGTGTGTGAGGGGTGCACAGGAGGGAAGATGGGCGAGGCTGGGATTGGTCCCGCGTCAGCTCTCTGGAAGAAGATTCCTTGGCCCGTAGATTCTCCTCCATTGATGGGTGAGCACAGGTCAGCTGGCCTCTGCTGGAGGCAGGACAATGCTCTGTGGCACCCCTGTCTCACAGCCGCCCTGGGGCAGCAGTACAGTCAGAGCCCACTGTTCCAACGTGCTGAGGGGGATGGAGCCTGAGTGGGGAGGGGATTCGCCGGGTCCCATGGGGCCTGGAGGAGCCAGGCTTCCCACTTTGTCCAGGGTTTTGTAGACGCTACGCCCCAGAGGTTGGGAGACACCAAGTGGCTTCCTACTCCCAGCCTGTGCCAGGGTCCCTATTCACGGAAGGGTTACTGCTTCTGGACGGCTCCCCGGTAACTCTACTCAGAGCCCCCAGGGGCAGGGCTGGACCTCATGCGAGGGAGCCAGGCTGGGGACGTTGCCCCAGATACCCAGGCCAGGCCCGGTGGGGCCCTGGGGCGGGAGACTGGCCTTGGCAGAGCAGTGAAGGGTGCCTGGCCAAGTGCACTGCCAGGGCCACCTCACTGGAGCCCCGTCAGGCCGGTGGTGGGGTTTGCTCAACAGCCCCAGCTGGTAAGGGGTTGAGAGTTGGGGGTTAAACCCGTGTCTGTCTGATTCCGGAGTGGGTGCTCTTTGCCCCATGCCTGGGTGAGCCGGCAGGCCCTGGCTCTGGGCCTGTGGTAGAGGCACAGGGACAGGAGGAATGAGGGTGTTAGAGTGATAACAATAATAATACGTGATGGTTACTGACTGCTGTCCTAAGTGATTTACCGTTGGGGAAACTGAGGCACAGAGAGGTTCAGTAATTTGCCCAAGATCACTCAACAAGTAGGTCCCAGAGCCCAGCGGTGTGGCCCGAAAGCCCACTATTGCCACCACACTCTCCGGCAGAGCCAGACTAGATAATTTCGGGGTCTACAGCTGGGGAGGCTGACCAGGGCATCCCGGGGCCTGGCTGGGGAGCACCCCTGGATCCGGAGCCTGGCCTTGGGGCTGGAAGGCTGCGGGCAGAAGCCTGGGTTGGTCGGGGGTCCCTGCCGGGCTCCGTTCTCTAAAGCAGGCGGGTGTCTCACCAGAGTTTATGGTGGTTTTGAGCGTCAGCTGTGCGCTGCCACCTCCCTGCTGCCCCGGTCCCCCATCTCAGCTGCAGGGGGGCCTGGAGGGGCTGAGGAGACCAGAAATTACCCCAGAAAGAATGGGGGATGACACCACGCTGCCTTTCCTAAAGCGAGCGTTCTGCTGGTTGCTGGTTGGTCCAGAAGCCCGGGTGGAGCGGTGGGGTGGGGGTGGGGGCAGGGGCGGGGGCGTGAACGTTCAGAGGAGGTGGGGAAGCACTTCCTGTTCTCCCCCTCCCTCCCCTCCCCGCCCCATTCATAAAGCCATTAGCATTTTAAAGGCAGAGAGAAACCCATCTGTGCAGAGAATAGTCACTTAACCCAATGTTTCCCACACTCGCTGGCCCACCCCCCACCCAGGGGCCTGATTAACCCCTGAGGGAGCTACTCCAGGCTCAGGGAGCACTGGGGGGACACGTGGCTTGCAGGGGGCGCCCTGGAGCCCTGGGCTGGGTCCTGGCTGTGTCCTGGGAGATGGCTCAGCGTTGCCCACCCCCAGACCCCGGCTTCCTGGGCCTCTGCACAGGCGAGGGCCCCTCGGCTTCAAGCTCCTCCCATCCCTGACACAACAGGGCCTGTGCTGGGAGCTACTAGTTCTGTGGCTGGCCAGGTGGGGCCTTGGGGGGGCTGGGCCTGAGGTGGGGGAGGGGCAGAGTGAGGTAGTGGGAAGTGCACAGGAGGGCTGGGCCTCCCCCTGGGATTTGGGTCACCTCAGGAGGAGAGGAGTGCTGGTGGGCAAGCCCCCACAAGCAAGTCTGAGCAGATGGCCAAGGGGATTATTAAAATCCAGCTTTGTTCTCATCAGAGGCTGGGCCAGAAAGAGGGGGAGGCAGTGCGGGCCAAGCCACGTGGGCCATTGTCTCTTTCTTTGGAGTAGGTTTTTCTGCCATAGCCGGGACGTGAAGAGCAGCTTAAGCAGGGTGAGGCTGCCTGCCCGGGCATTAGGGAGCTGCCCCCACCAGGCCCACCCTCCACAGCCCACTCCTGACCTTGGGGCAGCCGGGGCAGCAAGATAAGCTACCTGACGTCATGAGGAGCGGGGGGGCACTGAGGCACCACAGGGGCTAGATTTTCCAGGGACCTGCCTCTGTGATCACCGCATAAATGATGATGGTGGTGATGGTGGTGATGGTGATGATGGTGACGGTGATGATGGTGGTGGTGACGATAGGATGGTGATGGTGATGATGGTGATGATGATGGGATGATGATGATGATGGTAATGGTGATGATAGTGATGATGGTGATGAAGTTGATGGTGATGATGATGGTGATGATAGTGATGATGGTGATGAAGATGATGGTGTTGATGGTGATAGGATGGTGATGGTGATGGTGGTAATGGTGATGGTGATGATGGTGATGGTGTTGATGGTGATGATAGGATGGTGATGGTGATGGTGATGGTGATAATGATGGTGATGGTGATGGTGATAGGATGGTGATGGTGATGGTGGTGATGGTGATGATGGTGATGGTGATGATGGTGATGATTATAGGATGGTGATGGTGATGGTGGTGATGGTGATGATGGGGATGATGGTGATGATGATGATGGTGATGGTGATGTTGGTGATGATGATGATGATGGGGATGGTAATGGTGGTGTTAATGTTGGAGATGGTGATGATGGCGGTGATGATGGTGATAATGATGGTGATGGTGATGGTGATGATGATAGGATGGGGATGGTGATGATGGTGATGGTGATGGTGATGATGATAGGATGGTGATGATGGTGATGGTGATGTTGGTGATGATGATGATGATGGGGATGGTAATGGTGGTGTTAATGTTGGAGATGGTGATGATGGCGGTGATGATGGTGATAATGATGGTGATGATGGTACCAGTGATGGTGATGGTGTTGATGAATATGAGGGTGGTGGCTGCTGTTTACTGAGCACTCACTTGGGGTCCAGGGAGGTTAGGTAAGTCAGCTGCTCTAGGACTCTAAGGTGGGCAGTGGAAGAACCGGGACGTGAAGCCAGGCTCCGCAGAGCTCACACACTAAGCCAGGGATCAGTGAACTTTCTCTGCAGAGGACCAGATAATGAATATTGTCAGCCTTGTGGGCCACACAGTCTCTGTGGTAACAACTCACCTCTGCACATCAGCAGCCCTGGACGATACGTGAACGACGAGCGTGGCTGTGTCCGTTAACCCTTACTCACCCAAACAGGCTGCAGGCTGCCGGCTCCTGCTCTAAACCGCCGTCCCGCACCTGGGGCTCCTCCAGTCCTGAGCTTCAGATGGTCTTCCTTGGCCGTCTGCCTGCTTCCAGACTTCTCTCTCACACACTGGGCTGTCTACCACGTGAAACCCATCCTCAAGTGATGGAGACCTGCTCCAACTGAGAGATTAGTTCATTCACTGGTTGGTTTACTCATCCAATCCAGCCATTCATTGCTGTCGTTATCACTATAATAATGATTACTGGAAATGTTCTTTTTTCTTTTTTCCCCTTCTTCTTCTCTCCAAAGCCCCCCAGTACATAGTTGTATATTCTAGCTGCGAGTGCTTCTGGTTGTGCTCTGTGGGACCCCACCTCAGCATGGCCTGATGAGTGGTGCCATGTCCGCGCCCAGGATCCAAACGAGTGAAACCCTGGGCCGCTGAAGTGGAGCGCGTGAACTTAAACACTCGGCCACGGGGCCGGCCCTGTACCATACAAATATTATTAATAAAATTATTAATATAGAACGCCATAGACTTTGGGGTCAAAGCGGGGTTACAATCCCAGCACAGAGATTTATCAGCTGGAGATTTTAAGTCAGTGGTTTAACCTCTCTGAGTCTCAGTTCTCTCTTCTGTAAGGTGGGGATGATGGTCCCTGCCCTGCCTCCCTTTCGGGCCTGCCATAAAGAGAATGAAAGGCCATGTAAGCTCTTCATGCAGTGTTTGGCCCCCACCAAAGGGCTCCACTAAAAGGTAGCATTTATTGTTACAAAACATGTTTGTTGAGTGCCTGAGTGATGGTGTGAATGAAGGTAGGGCCTTTTGGGTGGGTTTGCCCCAACCCTGACTTGGCCCTGCCTGTACCTCCCCTCCCTGCCAGGTGAACTTGTACTCGGACCCGCCCCAGCCCAGCCACAGCATCCACATGGGGACAATGCCCCAGGGGACCAAGGTCCTGGCCTTCACCATCCCACAGCCGCACTCTGTGGAGCGGAGGCTGGGCCCCACCGAGGCCCTGCCAGCCGCTGAGGCCTCAGGTGAGTCTGGGGGACGAGATGTGGCTGGAGGGTGTCTTCTGCCTGTGATTCTGCTCTGGGGGCACCTGGTTCACCTTGGGGATGGGACTGGCTTCATGCCAGGGGAGGGAGGGAGGCGAGGCCCCACTCTGGGCCGTTTGACTTGAAGAAGCCAAAAGGAGGTGTGGGCAGTGTCCCGCTTTGAGCCAGAACAGCCAGGTGAAGCCCACACTCTGTCACTTAGCCGCTGGGTGATCTTGAGCAAGTTGCATAACATGGAGCATTGTCACTGTGGAGCGACTTTAGGGCCCTGCTCCCACCTTTGCCATGTGCCATCCCCGTTACTCCCTGCCTCAACCTGGGGGAGTGCGCACTGGTGTCACCCCACTGACGGCTGAGACCAACGCTCGGAGAGGGGAGGACATCCTGCAGGTCACATTGCTACAAGGGGGCAGGGCGGGATTTGAACCCGCACCTTTCTGAGTTAGAGCCCACACCATTGACCTGGAGCCCGGAGGCCTGGCTTAGCTCCAGCTGCATGATCAGGGCAGATGCGGCCCTTGTTCTCTCCTGTAAATGGAGACAGTACTGCCCAGCCACTTCCTCGCGCCTATGTGAAGATGGCGTGATCGCGAGATGACCGAGCTGTCACTTGATGATGGAGGGGGTGACGGTTTGAGGTGGAGCATCCATCTCTCAGCCCAGGAGGGACTCTTCTTGGCCCCAACTGTCAGTGGTTGTGTATTCCAGAGTGGCCATCAGCTCGAGGAGACCTGAGCCGCCCCTCTGCCACCAGCTCGAGCACCCCAGGCTGTCTTCTGGAAAACCTGGGCATCGCCCAAGACCAGCCCTCCGCGGAGCCGACCGAGGCACTGGCTTCTCAGGCCAGGTGGTTCCTGGCCAAGGTGAGCGGAGCCCCAGCTTTGCCCGTCTGAGACATAGCTCACGGGAGAAAGCAGAGCCTCTGCGGGGTGGTGGAGGGGCCCACTTGTCACTCCCCAGCCAGGGTTAACCTGGCATCTCGAGAACGTGAGCATTCCTCCTGGGTTTTGGGACCACACGAGTCCAGCCTCCTCCTCGTCCCCCAGTGCTGGGCTGAACTCCTTTCTTTGGCATGTCTCTCATCTACTCTCTCCGGTTGTGCTTGAAAGTGTGTCTGCTTTGCCCCCGGGGGGACCCTTAGTGCTGTCAGGGTTCTACAAGGATGACAGAAGCTCCACGCTGCCTTTTCCCCTTCAGAATAAATTGCCCGCTTCTTAGTTCATTTCATTACAGAAATCAATTCTCAGCCACCTCTCAAGGGGCCTATATATTTTCATCAAACCGTCCAAACAACTGAATGGTTTGCGGGTCTGTTTATAACTATACCCTTGGCCTTATTCCAAAAGTGCCTTAAAGCAGCTTAGAAAATACATGCATTATAACCACATTCTGAAAACGGAAGTGAGGAACTGGGGCAAAGGGGAAGTAAAAGTAGAAAAAAAATAAAATGAATGTAGGGCGAAGCGAGTAAACAGAATGTTCCGTTGGACCCTGAGCACTTTCCTAGATTCACATTTGGCTTTGAACTTCCCAGTTGGCAAGGCAAAAAGGGAAATGCCATAGTTACAGACATCGCTGTGTCCATTGAACCAATTCCTTCAGGGAAACGCAGCCATTCTTTTCTTTTTTTCTTTTGGTAACAGCTTTGTTGAGATATAATTTACATCCTGAACAGTGCACTCATTTAAAGTGGATACTTCGGTGGGTTTGCGTTTATTCAGAGTCGTGCAGCCATCACCACAATCAGTTTAAGAACATTTCCATCATGCGGATAGAAACGCCACATCCGATAAGCAGTCGCTCTCCATCCCTTTCCCCAGCCCCTGGCAGCTGCTCCGCTACGTTCTGCCTCTACAGTTTGCCTGTTCTGGACATTTCATATAAATGGATTCATAGAACATGTGGCCTTTTGTGTCTGGCTTCTTTCACTTAGCATAATGTTTTCAAGGCTCATCCCTGTTGTAGCAGAATGAGCAAGCACTTTATTCCTTTTTGCCACCACCATTCTGTGTTCTGTAACTGGACAGACGTTTCTCCCGTGTCCTGTGTGTTGCAGAGTAAAGCAAAGCCAAGGTCATCGCGATGAGCAGGAGCTGGGGCCCCACTTGACCCCTAATGATCCAGAGCTGCACTGTCCACTACAGGAGTCACTGGTCACACATGGCTCCTGAGTCCTGGACGTGTGGCCAGTGCAAATTGAGATGTGCTGTCAGTCACACACACGCACACCGGATTTCAGACTTAGTGCAACAAAAAGAGTGTAAGAGCTCCTTAATGAGTTTTTCTATTGATTACATGTTGAAATAATATTTTAGGTTTATAAAATTATTATTAAAATTAATTTACCTATTTCTTTCTTCATTTTTAATATGGCTACTAGAAAATTTTAAATTACATATGTAGCTGACATTACATTTCTATTTTATGTTATATAAATTATATAGTATATTATAATATATTATATACATTTTTATATTATATTTCAGCTCTCATCTACAGCTTTCCTAGAAATGATTCTCAAGTCATCCTTTGCTATTTTTCCTAATTAAAAATTTTGGGGGACCCTGGCCTGGTGGCATAGCCATTAAGTTCGAGCACTGTGTTTCACTGTCCCCGGGTTTGCCAGTTTGGATCCCAGGCACAAACCTACGCACCGCTTGTCAAGCCATGCTGTGGTAGCCATCTCACATATAAAGTAGAGGAAGATGGGCATGGATGTTAGCTCAGGGCCAGTCTTCCTCAGCAAAAAGAGGAGGATTGGCAGCAGATGTTAGCTCAGGGCCAATCTTCCTCAAAAAAAAAACAAAAGCCAGGAAATTCTTCTTTGTAAGGGTAATGGATGCACACAGTAAAGGCCCTCACATGGTACAAAGGGGATATTCAGTGAAAATGTTTTCTCCCTCCATTGCCCTTCTGTTCCGTGCAAAAATGTTCCACACACACACATGCTTTTATCGAAATGGCCACATAAGTATATGTATTATCCTGTACCTTGACTTTTTTAATGTCCCAAATTTGAATGTTTGTTTCTGAGTAGGCAGTGAATTCACTTCGTTCAAAGTTCAAAGGATTCATGGAGTAGAAAACCTCCCTCCCACTGCTGTCCCCCCACCACCCAGTTCTCCTCCCCAGAAGCAATTAATGTTTCACTTTCTTGCCTTCTTCTAGAGACGATTTCTAGTACATAAGCAAGTGTATTTACATGTGTCTGTAGATTTCATACAGACGGTAGTGAACTGTAAACGCTGTCCTGTACCCTGATTCGATGCTGGAAAGTAGGTCTCAGAGGCATTGATACATCAGGACATCCCCATGTGCCCTCCTCTTCTTGATGGCTGTGTACTATTCCACGGAGAGGCATTTCGAGTTTTTCCTGTCGCCCGCTGACCGTGCCGCCGTAAATTTCCTGCCTCCGAGGTCTTCCTTCCTGCACATGAGTGAGCGTGCTTTGCTGTCGATAAATTCCTGGAGGTTCCACTTCCGTTTTTCCTAAGGTGGCCGTGCCCGACGCCCACCCGTCGTGGAGTCATGGAGTCGCTGTCAGTGGTGGACCCACCTCCTGAGGCGGGACCCAGCTCCTCACGCCAAAGTGTGAATGTGGCTGCGTGCGGGAGTCAGCGGGGCTCCTCCTCCAGCGTCTGGATTCATGGAGTGTGTTTCCCCCCTGTCCCCATGTCCAGGTGGAGTCCTTCATGGCCCTGATGCAGACAGGACGGCTGACGCCCCGGGACCAGCTCAAGGTACGGCCACTCAGGAGACGCCCTGGGAGCCGCAGACAGCTGCTCCGTCTCCCATGGCAGAGTCTCTGGAGCCTCGTTTGCCACAAGGCTGGCCAGGGAATCCCAGACACAGTGTCTCCTTCTAGAACAAACAGCCCCGCTGAGCTTTCCGTGATAGTGATTGTTGTTGACCAGTCGTTCCCACTTGTGAAGCATGTGCTGGCAGGCCAGGCACTGCGGTACATTATTGCCTTTTACCAGCATCAAAACCCAGGGGGCAGTTACAATCATTGCCCCCATTTAACTGGGATGGACCTGAAGCCCAGAGAGGTGACTCAGAGGCCACAGGGCTGGTAGGCAGCAGAGCTCAGACCCAGGTCCGTCTGAATCCCAAGTCCAGGGGCGTCCTCGCTGCCCTGCACAGTGTCCCCCTGAGTATCCTGCCTCTCAGTGACCAGAAAAAGGCCTTTTCTTTTTTTAAGATTTTTGTATTATAAAAGTAATTGCCCAAAATTTGAAAACCAGAGGGAAAAGGGAAGAGGAGACCCCTAATCTATTATTGGCCTGTTTCCTTTTGGACTTTCGTATTTCTGGATAACTATGATCAGATGTAAAATTCAGGTTTCTAGTGCATCAGCCAGGGTCCCAGGAGGGAACAGACGATGCTCTCGAAGCTGAGAGTGGGGGTCATTGAGGGGCTGTGAGCAGGGCTGTGGGCAGCATGAGGGGGCCCGACAGGACCAGGGAAGCCCGGGGACTCGCACCTGCCTTAACTGTCCCTCCCAGGTGTCTCTCCTCCCACCCCAGACCTTTTATGGATGCTTCCCGCTGCACAGACCCCACGGGAAGCCGGTGGGCCGGGAGCCCAGTGATGCTGGAGGCACAGAGCAGGGTGGGGACAGGAGCTGAGGGAGGGCTCGGAGGGGCCAGGGCATCGCTCTTGGTTTGTAAAATATATTATGATTTTTTTACTATCTTAATATATAGATGTCACCTACATCTTCTAGTACAAAATGTGTGCTCCGTATTATGTTATCTCATCGAGCGGGTGATCAAGGGCCTTGAAAATCAAAGCCATCCTTCTCCGTCCCCTTTATCCTGGTTCCCCCACATCCAGGGAGGTTGGGAGCTCTTGGAAGAGCAAGCTTGACTGGGGACCAGACTCTAGTTATCCTTGGCCTCAGCCTGAGCATCAGATGAGTGAGCTGGGGATGGCTTTAAGCCAGGGATAACGGTCCTGCCTCTGGTAGTTTAAGCTGTGTATTAGCTGTCCTTACGTTTACTCTGGGGACCTGGTGTAATTGTTAGGACCATGATCTCTGGAGCCAGAGGACCTGGGTTCCAGTCCTGGCTCTACAACTTACTGTGTGACCCTCACCAACTTAAATAACCTCTCTGTGCCTTAGTTTCTTCCTCCTTAAATGAAGATGATAAACTACTGCTCTCATTAAGATTATGTTGAAGATTGAATGAATAATGCAAAGTGCGTTAGCGCAGAGCCTCCAGGCTCAATGGTGATAATGATGTCACGGATCGTGGTAGTCTATAAGGATTGGGGGAAAGAGTGACTAATGTTCCAAAATCCACAGTTCTGAGAATCGAGAATGAGGATCCATGGTCTCTCCACTACTCGGTCCTTATGGGGACATGGTGATAGCATATTTGACATTACGACCATCATGGGACATCAGGGTTCTTGGAGGTCTACCCAGGAAAAATGGGTCCCCTCTGGAGCCGGGGCCAAGACTCTAAGCCGTGCCGCTGCCGTGCTAGTCTGATGGCGGAGAGCTTGCCCAGGGCCGCCAGGCTCCAGAGGGTCCTGACCCCAGCCTGCCGGGGACTCGGTGGCCAGGAGGCCACCACAGACCCAGGGTGAGCCCCGTGGCCCCCCATGAGCTGTCCCGTGGGCTGCGTCTGCAGGGACCGAGCCCACGGGGCCGGGCACTCAGCTCTGCCTGGTCTGGTCCGGTTTCAGGGCTTCCAGCGGCTGAAGGCTGCCCACGCAGCCCTGGAGGAGGAGTACCTGAGGGCCTGCAGGGGGCAGCCCCTGGCCCAGCAGCCCACCGGCTCCGAGGGGACGCCTGGGAAGTTCGACCCTGGCAGGTGCGTGCTGGGGAGGGAGGCCCGGGAGGCCAGATGGGGCGGGCCCGGGTTCCCTCGGTCACCAGAGGCACACCCCATCCTCATAATTCAGACACTGGGGCAACAGGAAGAAATCCTATCCCAGTTAGCAACATACCAAATGGGGGGATGCTGGAAAGCTGAGATTTGTCACCTTTTGGACTCACTGCAATGAGAAGTGACCTGGGAGATAAGAGCTGAAACCTCTCATTAGAGAATGGGGAAACTGAGGCCGGAAGGGGGAGGGATTTACTCAAGGTCCCACAGCCTGTTGGTGGCAGAGAGGGGCTCAGACTGAGGCCCCCTCATTCCTAGTGAGTCCACTTTCATCTTGTTTATTTCGAGTTCTCCGCAGACTCTGAATGATCACATTAAGTGGACCCTCCGTGGGCATCCTCTGGGACCTCTGCTCTGAAGGCCCCCAGACCTGCCCGATGGGGCTGCCGTCCAGCCTCCCACTGCTGATGTCTCCCCCTTCCAGGGAGCTGGAGGCAGAGATATTCCAGCTGGGGATTCGCCTGGAAGAGCTGAAGGACCATGTGGAGCAGAACCAGCAGGAGCCGGAGCAAACCGGGTCGGACTCAGCTCTGGACAGCCCCCCAGCCACGCCCTCCCCCCACCAGCCGACCGGCCTGCCCTCTCCTTCCGGACAAGCCCCCGAGCTGGCCACCCAGATCCTCTGCCCTGAGGTACCTCTTTGCCCAACCATATTGGACTGTTTCTTCATTCCTTCTTTTCTTCGTGAATTGGGCTTCTTCCCTACCTCTTTATGAAGTATGAGCCATATGCCAGGACCCATGACACATGGTGGGATCTCAGTGGGAAACAAACAAACAAAATAGGTGGCCTCTACCCTCTTGGGGTTTTCTGTCTAGTTGAACTAGTTCCACACCGTTATTTAACTATAATTTTGATTAGTGCTCTGAGGGAGAATCGTGGGGTTCTGTGAGAGGAGGTAATAGGGTAACATAACTGAGTTTAGGGGGTCAGAGAAACTTTCCTTAAGGAAGTAATGTTGAAAGGAGATCTGAGGGTGAGTAGGAATTAGTAGGTGCAGAAGAGGAAGTCATTCAGCATAGAAAACAGCCTGTGCAAAGGCCCTGTGGTTGGAGTATGGAAAGTGAGGGGGCAGTTGTCTGAGAGATGCGGCTGGAGAAGCAGGTAGGGGCTCCATGAAGTAGGGGCTTGTGGGTCACATCAAGGGCTTGGTCTTAAACGCTACTGGGTTTTTGTGCAGAGGACAAGGTGAGAAGATTTGCAGGTGGGCCCATCAGAGGTGGGGAGGTGGCGGGCAGGTAGAGAGATGCACGTGGACTTGGGGGAGGTTTAGAAGGCACATTTGACTGGACTTGGAGTGGTGGTGACATGGGAGGGAGCCCAGGCTGACCTCCAGGCTTGGGGCTTGTGGTACTGGGTGGATCTGGGGACTGTTCACAAAGGTGACAGGGCCGTGCCTGGAAGGGGCCTTATGGAGTCCTTTCAGCCCCCGTCACAACCCGTGAGAGGCCATCACTGTGTTGCAGTTGAGCAACCTGAGCGTAGAGGGGGAGGCTGCCTTGTTGCTGGCGCTCCTTGCTGCCTTTGCTGCCAAGACTTGTCGGCTGGGGATGGAGCAGGAGAGGCGGGGGGCTGCTGGAGGCTGGGCGCTGGTCGCATGTCCACGATGCTGAGGTCTCAGTGCCCGGGATGTGGGGGAAATTCTCTCGCTGCACTCTGCCCCAGAGGGTAGGAAAATGACCAGGCGCTGTCTCAGGCACTAACGGGTGAAAACCCATGCACATCGTCCTGAGGGGCTCCATGCTCCCGCCGTGAAGGCGTTTTGGGGGGTGGGGTGTCCATACTGGAATGGAGCCGGGTCAGGAGAGGTGCTTCTGACAGGAACTCGGGGTCCACATCTCAGCCCTGCCTCTTGCTTTGTGACTTTGGGTGAATCATCGGAGCCTCAGTGGCGTGTCTGTAAAATGGGTTGCAGTAACCGTCTATACCGGCGGGGTCGTGCTGAGTGGTGTCTGGCAGTCCTGGGCACAGAGTCGGTACTCAGTTCACGGCAGCCAGTGTTGAAGGTCACGTGGTCCGGTCCCCACGTTCTGCACACACATAAGGGCGGTGGGGTTGGTGGGTCTAACCTGTTTCTTCCACTTCAGCACCGGCGTGACCCTGGCCTGAGGTAGGTCCTTAGAAAGTGGCGTTTAGGTGTCTGCTGAATCTCTGCCCCTCTGTGTCTCTGGCCCCAGCCTGACGCCCCCAGCGTCGGTCCCTGCCCGTTGCACGTGAACGTGGAGCTGAGCGCGGCCAGCAGTGAGGTGGGGGACACGCCACTGGGCCTCCCGGCCCCACTCAGGCCCACGGAGCTGCTGATGGAGCAGGATTTCCACGGCCTCCTGGAGCGGTGAGTGCCCGCCAGGAGGGAGGCCGGGGCGTCTGGCCCGGGGGCTGAGCCTGCTGCGCAGAAGTCACACTCCTCTGTGCGTTCTTCTGCAGGTACCTCAGCGTGAAGTCCCTCCCAGAGGCCCTGAGGACGGAGGAGGAGGAGGCGGAGGCGGAGGGTCAGGGCCACACCCAGGAAGTTGACGGCCTGGCTCCCCCTCCAGGGAAGGCAGAGGCCACCAGGCTCCCCACAAGGGCGCTCCCGGCGCAGGCCGAGAGAAGTCACGGGGCCCCGCTCGAGTATGTCGGCAGCCTCCCCACTTATCCCACACCAACCCGGCGACCGCAGGGCACGGATGGCGACTGTCATAGTGCGCCAGCCACCCCTTTACCGTTTAGAAATGGCTTTCCTGACCCGTAGCTCAGTGTCTCCCCAAAATGTGGAACTTATGCCACTGATAGCCCTTGACATGATTTGGGTGACGTGAGACCTTCGATGTGACAGACGTGGCATTAAATAACATTATTCTCCTTTTCCGTCTCAGACCTTCCAACTCTGTCAAGGAGAAGGTCTCAGTTAGGGCTAGTATGTCTTCAAGACCTCTCTTGATCTTCCTTTAAAAAGAGAGAGAGAGAGGGGCTGGCCTGGGGGTGAAGCGGTTAAGTTCGCATGTTCCACTTCCGTGGCCCAGGGTTCGCCGGTTCGGATCCCAGGTGCGGACGTGGCAAGCCATGCTGTGGTAGGCATCCCACATATAAAGTAGAGGAAGATGGGCACGGATGTTAGCTCAGGGCCAGTCTTCCTCAGCAAAAAGAGGAGGATTGGTGGCAGATGTTAGCTCAGGGCTAATCTTCCTCAAAAAAAAAAAAGAGAGAGAGAGAGAGAATAAGCGAGCGGACTCAGGCCCAGAGGCTTAACAGGCAACAGGATCTATCTAGAATATAGTAATATTGTTTTCGTGTTTTCTGTATTTATTTCCAAAGTTAGTTTCTATTTGTAGTAGGAGATACTGGTCTTCTGTTTATAATAGTGACCTGAAGTCGTCTTGAGTAGATTGAAGTTTATAGAAATGGCTGATGTAGGGAAGGTGGTATGCGCGTTCCTGGAACCTGGGAAGCAGTGCTCCAGCTCACTTGTTTCCACGCTATTTCTCCTGTGGCATGTTGGGTGGGTTTTGTTGGCATCCTCATTTTTCAGTTGAGAAATGTGAGGTTCAGAGAGGGGCGGCGCCTTGCCCAAGGTCACACAGCTAGAAGGTGGCAGAACCAGGGTGGGCCCGCAGGGGTGTCTGCCCCCAGAGCTTGCGTCCTGCACTCCCTGGCTCCCGGGACAGGGCTGCCCGGTCATGCCAGGGCTCAGGGTGGGTGTGCCTCTCCTTCCCTGCCAGAGAGACCCTGGAGCAGATGGTGTCTGGGAAGCCAGCAGGCTCGCTCACATCCATGGCTAGAGATGGGCACCCACAGGGCCTGGGCAAAGCTGAGGCGGCCTCTCCAGGCCCTAGAAGACCACCCCCCGCTCGGGACACCAAGTGCGCTGCATCCCACCAGAGCAGTCTGACCAGCCTAGAGGGAAGTGGCATCTCTGAGCGCCTTCCACAGAAGTCTCGTCACCAAGCGGGCAGGCCCCACGTGGAGGTGAGCGTCCACAGGAGGTGTGGGCTCTGAGCCTCGAGGCCATTCCCTGGATCGCCTGGCACTTTCTGCCTCAGAGCCTTGGCTCATGCCATTCCTTCTCAGAATCCCTGCCATTCAGAATGCTGCCCAGTATTCAGGGCTTGTGCCCAGTGCCACCTCTCCGCCGGAGCTCCTCGCACCCCATCCCTCTGCCAGGAGGTCTTGTTTCTCCTCTGAGAGTTCGGAGCCCATTTCCTGTTTTCTCTGAGCCCGCTCTGAGCTGGGGTGGGGGGCGTGGGCCGTCCTTGACTCCGTGCCCTGTTTGTGCCATTAGCGCAGCGATTTTGAAACTGTTGCAGGGGTCACAGATCACATGGAAATGTGACTTACACTATGGATCCTCCCCAAGGATAACGTGTATGTCTCCATGTGGACACACACGCACGCACCTGCCCATGCGTACACACCTGCCCATGCATGCGCACCTGTGGTGCTGTGACCCCCTGGTGAGGAACCTGCACCAGACCGTGAACGCCCTGAGGACAGCACCGGTGTCACTCTGTGTTCTGTGTGCCTTGCGTTAGGCCCCGTGTGTAGGAGGCGTCATGGTTGATGGGTTTTGTCTTCCCGGTTCTTCGGGCCTGGGTTTCTGCATCAGGACCACGGCGTTCCAGGCCCAGCCAGGAGGCGTGTGGAGATGCGAGTCCCGTCCCTGCACCGGGACCCCTCCCTCCTGCCCCTCTTTCTCTTCCTCAGCTCAGGAAATCGGCTCCAGGGCTTCTCCCCAGTGCGCTGGCTCCCCCTCCTCAGGGAAGCGGGACTTCTGCGGGGTCCTCTCGGGCGTGCAGTCGCTGCTGCTGACCCGGGGCTCGGGCTGGGTCCTGAGCCCGAGGACCCTCCCACCTGGGCCTGGGTGTTGGGCAACGGGCCAGCCCCCGTCTGTGAGCCTCGGAATGGGAGGCCCAGGCCAGGGCTGGAGCGATTCCCAGTGTGTCTCGGGCACATTCCTCAGACTTAAAGGGATCCTGCCTCCTTCAGGAGCCCTGGATGGCATCCCCCGAGACAGACAGTGGCTTCGTGGGCTCAGAAACCAGCAGAGTGTCGCCCCTCGCCCAGACCCCGGAGCACCGGCTGTCCCACATCAGGTATCCTGGGGACCCCCACCATTGTCCCATCAGTGTCACACACCAGGAATGGCCTGCGAACCAACGTGCCTGTGAGCCCAGAACAGGGGCGGACAGAGCGGGCATTCTCAGATCCCTTGTTTCATCCCCCAGTGAGGGCTCCCTACCCCCATCTTATTGATAGAGAGGAACTGAGGTTCAGAGAAGGAGAGTGACTTGCCAAGCGTCACTCAGCCGATTAGCGACAGACCGGGAAATAAATATTTGTTGAGCAAATGAATGAGTGAACAGTGAATGAAGGACGTCTACAGGGAGAGTGGCGTGAGATGAGCAGACACAAGGATCAAGGGCAATCAGGGTGGCTGCCTGGAAGAGATGGGCTGGAACTCAAAGGGAAGGGAGGGGATGTGGGTGAAGGGTGGGGTGACGGAGCCACCATGTAGAGTGACGGCCTCCAGAGCTGGGTGCAGGCCCCTCAGGAGGCCCACCTGGTGACGGGAAGAATGGATTAGAAATTCTATTTCTCTGAATATTTTCTAAAAACGAAATTGAGCTTTATAATTTTGCATACATGGGTGGGCAGTACAGCTGTGCCGTTTATAAAGAAATGCGTGTATAACAGGGGTGCATCCTCAGAAATTCTGTCCTGCCGGGATGCGAAGTCCCAAAGGTCAGGAGCTCACGGGGTTAGCGTGTGGAGGGGCTCGGAGGCCGCGGCCTTTCTCAGGGTGACCTCAACGTGTCTCTCCCTCCATGGTCCCTCAGCGCCCCAGGGCCACTAACCCAGCCCTTCACTGCGTCTGCACCCCGGAATGCAGCCTCCCACCCCCAGACCAGGGGTCCTCCGGTCCCCAGAAGAGTCGCTGAGCCCAGCACACCCAGGAGCCGAGCCCAGAGGCGCCCCTCCGGCCGGGACAGTCCCCGCCGGCAGAGGGCACCCAGCTTCCGCCTGGAGCGGGCACTGGCGGCCGAGATGGGTGAGTAGATGCAGCTGAGATGGGCAGCCCCTGGGGGGTGGCCAGATTGCATGGATTAAAAAATAAAACCAACAAAGGGCTTACCTTCCCCTTTAGGGTACAAAACATCATAAAGGTTCATTGTAGGAAAATTTGAAATTACGGACAGAGTGGGCCAAAGGGAAGGAAAGGAAAAGATATGCTGGAAACCATTGCTGCTGACATTTTGGTGTGGAACCTGCGGGTTGTTCTCTGTGCCAGCGTGTGTGTGTTGATTGACACGCACTTAAAACGAACATGGGACCATATTATACACGAATGTCTGATAACCTTTTTTTCTCTAAACATTGTGTCATGCACACTTTCCATGTCTATAAAATCTATGATTTAGTTTTTACATTTAAGAAATGAATTTATTTCCTTAAAAAAAGAAATAAAACAAATAGACAGGAAAGAACATAAGTGGGTGAATTTTCACGAGGTGAACACAGGCCAGGAAAGTCAACATGGTCAGAACCCCAGAAGCTGCCCGCCCAGGCCCCCTCCAGCCACTCCCACCCCTCCCCGAGGGAACCCCTGTCCTCGCTTCTAACACCCCACATTTGCTTGGCCTCTTTTGAAAGTTCAATGTTTAACATTTTTTTTAATTAAACTTTAATTAAAAATTTAATTAATTACTGGTTCCCAGAGATCCCACGTGTCCTTGACTTAGTGTCTCCCAATGATATCTTGCAAAACTACTGTGCGATGTCACCACCAGGTGTTGACATGGATTTGGTCCAGATACAGAACAGGCCACCACCGGCTCCCTCGTGTTGCCCTTTTATAGACACACCCGCTTCCCCCTGCCCCACCCCCTCCTCAGCTCCTGGTGACCGCTAATCTGCTCTCCATTTCTCTAATTTTGCCATTTCAAGAATGTTACATAAATGGAATCATATACCATATGACCTTGTAGGATTGGCTTTTTCACTCAGCATAATTCTCTGGAGATTCATCTGGATTGTTCCATGTCTCCATAGTTTGTCCCTTTACCGATTGCTGGTTGTTTTTAATGCGCGGGCCAGACTAGCGGTCTGGACCTCCAGCCGCCCATCCCTTTGAGAGGCTGCAGTTTTGAACCTCTCCCCAGAAACACGCACACAGGCAAGGGTGTGACTGCATTTTCAGAGGGAGGGGGAGGCTGTGAAGCCAGTCCCAGAACCACGTGGTGATGCACCACAGAGCTGGGGGGCCCACGTGGAGGAGCCACGAGCTCTTTGCTAGTCGGGGAAGGTCCCGAAGACTTGGCTCTGATGCGGAGACGGCGGGCTGGAGGGGGCGCTCTCACCCGCAGCAGCTCTGCAGGCCACGCTCTGCACCCCAAGCTCCCGGCACAAACCGCATCTTCTGGTTTGAGGTCAGTGGGTCATTGACCTCATCAGGAACTTCATTTGTGACCTCAGCTGGGCACCTTCTCTTGCCCCCCAATCCTTCCACCCACACACGATCCCGCTTCGATGGGCGTCCCTGCGTGAACTCACTTGGGTCTCTTTCTGCCTCCCCAGCGCTCCCAGGCTCCGAGCTGGAGGGGCGAAAGCGGGTTTCTGAACAGCGGCCCCGCAGCACGACCGTCAGCCCGCCCAGCACCCCGGCCCCTGCACCTGCCGTTCTGCCCTGTGGACTGACAGAGACCACCTCCACCCTACTGCTCACCAGGACAGGGCGAGAGTAAGCTGGGGACGTGGGCACTGGCGATTCAAGCTCATCATAGGGCTGGGAGAGTGATGCCCGGGAGGCAGGGGCTCGGCCCGTGGTGGCTGTGCTGGGCCACACAGACCCGGGTGTCCCGCCTCCCAGCTCAGGGCTGTTCTCCTGGGACCTCAAGGACCTAGCCTTTGAGGAAGCTCCTCCAGCCGTGGGCGATGACCTAGCGGTTTGCCTTCCTGGTGTTGAGACCTCACTCTCTGCCCTCCACAGCTCCCTTCCAGGCAGGTCTGCGCTTCCCACAGTGCGTTTCCTGCAGTGCATGCACTCAGTCTAAGACCTGAAAAGAGACTTCTCTTCTTTTTAATCCTAGCACAGTTTTTCTTTTCTTTTCTTTTTTATTATTTTATTGAGGTCTTAATGGTTTATAACATTGTGTAGTTTCAGGTGTACATTATTATTTCTCAGTTTCTGTATAGACTGCATTGTGCCCACCATCTAAATGTGCCCCTTTACCCCTTATGCCCACCCCCCAACCCCCTTCCCCTCCAGTAACCCCTAATCTGTTCTCTTTGTCCCTGTGTTTGTCTTTCACATATAAGTGAAATCATCTGGTCTTTTTCTCTCTCTATCTGGCTTATTTTGCTTAACATCATACCCTTAAGGTCCATCCATATAGTTGAAAATGGCACAATTTTGTCTTTTTTGTGGCTGAGTAGTATTCCATTGTGTATATATACCAGATCTTTATCCCATCATCTGTCGATGGGCACTTGAGTTGCTCCCACATCTTTGCTATTGTGAATAATGCTGCAATGAACTTAGGGGTGCATAAGTCTCTTCGAATTGCTGATTTCAAGTTCTTTGGATAGATACCCAGAAGTGGGATAGCTGGGTCGTATGGTATTTCTATTTTTGATTTTTGAGAAATCTCCATACTGTTTTCCACAGCGGCTGCACCAGTTTGCATTCCCACCAGCAGTGTATGAGGGTTCCCTTTTCTTTGCACCCTCTCCAGCATTTGTTACTTTTTCTTTTGGTGATTGTAGCCATTCCAACAGGTGTAAGGTGATATCTCATTGTAGTTTTGATTGGCATTTCAGTAATACTTAGTGATGTTGAACATCGTTTCCTGTGCCTGTTGGCCATCTGAATATCTTCTTTGGAAAAATGTCTGTTCATATCCTCTGCCCATTTGTTGATCCTGCTGTTTGTTTTATTGTTGTTTAGTTAAGTGAGTTCTTTATATATTATGGAGATTAACCCCCTGTCAGATATATGATTTGCAGATAGTTTCTCTCAGTTGGTGGGTTGTCTTTTTGTTTTGTTCATGGTTTCCTTTGCCTTGCAGAAGCTTTTTAGTCTGATGTAGTCCCAGTTATTTATTTTTTCTTTTGTTTCCCTTGCCTGAGTAGACATGGTATTTGAAAAGATGCTACTAAGACTGATGTCAAAGAGTGTACTGTCTATATTTTCTTCTAGGAGTTTTATAGTTTCTGGTCTTACTTTCAAGTCTTTGATCCATTTTGAGTTAACCTTTGTGTATGGCGAAATATAATGGTCTACTTTCATTCTTTTACATGTGGGTGTCTACTTTTCCCAACACCATTTCTTGAGGAGGCTTTCCATTCTCCATTGTATGTTCTTGGCACCTTTGTCGAAGACTAGCTGTCTGGAGATGTGTGGTTTTATTTCTGGGCTTTCAATTCTGTTCCATTGATGTATGCATCTGTTTTTGTCCCAGTACCATGCTGTTTTGATTACTGTGGCTTTGTAGTATGTTTTGAAGTCAGGGATTGTGATGCCTCCAACTTTGTTCTTTTTCTCAGTGTTGCTTTAGCAATTCAGGGTCTTTTGTTGCCCCGATATGAATTTTAGGATTTATTGTTCTATTTTTGTGAAGAACGTCATTGGGATTCTGATTGGGATTGCACTGAATCTGTAGATTGCTTTGGATAGTATGGACATTTTAACTATGTTTATTCTTTCATTCCCTGTGCATGGAATATCTTTCCTTTTCTTTATGTCATCATCGATTTCTTTCAATAATGTCTTAGAGTTTTCATTGTGTAGGTCTTTCACCTCCTTGGTTAAATTTATTCCTAGACATTTTATTATTTTTGTTGCGATGGTCAATGGGATTGTATTCTTGAGTTCTCTTTCTGTCAGTTCGTTATGAGAGTATAGAAATGCAACTGATTTTTCTAAGTTGATTTTTCTCCCCTGCAACTTTGCTGTAGTTGTTGATTATTTCTATTAGTTTTCTGATGGATTCTTTAGGGTTTTCTATATATAGAATCATGTCTGCAAATAGCGAAAGTTTCACTTCTTCCTTTCCCATTTGGATACCTTTAATTTCTTTTTCTTGACTGACTGCTGTGGCCCAAACCTCCAGTACTATGTTGAATAAGAGTGGTGAGAGTGGACACCCTTGTCTTGTTCCTATTCTCAGAGGGATAGCATTCAGTTTTTGCCCATTGAGTATGATGTTGGGTGTGGGTTTGTCATATATGGCCCTTATTATGTTGAGGTATTTTCCTTCTATCCCCATTTTATTTATAGTTTTTGTCATAAATGCTGTTGGATCTTGTCAGATGCTTTCTCTGCATCTATTGAGGTGATCATGTGGTTTTTGTTCCTCATTTTGTTAATGTAGTGTATCATGTTGATTGATTTGCGGATGTTGAGCCATCCCTGCGTCCCTGGAATAAATCCCACTTGATCATGGTGTAGGATCTTTTTAATGTATTGCTGTACTCAGTTTGCAATATTTTGTTGAGAATTTTTGCATCTATGTTCATCAGTGATATTGGCCTGTAATTTCCCTTCTTTCTGTTGTCCTTCACTGGCTTTGGGATCAGGGTGATGTTGGCCTCGTAGAATGGGTTAGGAAGGGTTCCATCTTCTTCAATTTTTTGGAATAGTTTGAGAAGGATAGGCACTAAATCTTCTTTGAATGTTTGGTAGAATTTTACCATCTGGTCCTGGACTTTTATTTTTGGGGAAATTTTTTATTACTGTTTCAATCTCTTTAATTGGGATTGGTCTGTTCAGATTCTTTATTTCTTCTTGATTCAGTTTTGGGAGGGGTGTGAGTCTGAGAATTTATCCGTTTCCTCCAGGTTGTCTATTCTTTGGCATACAGTGTTTTATAGTATTCTCTTACAACCCTTTGTATTTCTTTGGTATCCGTGGTACCAGCACAGTTCTCCTACAAAGAAAGTTGCTCCTGGCTTGGTTAAACAGAAATGGGAAAATGGGTTGCTCAGTCCTCTTGCCTCTCCTCTGAGATGCTTTTGGCCCATCATCCATCACGTGCCACTGCTGGATGGGGGTGTCCATCCCAGAATGCACTGGGAAGACCGCTTTGCAGTCATCAGTCCTTGGGCCTGTGCGATCGTGGGGCTGTCCTGGTCCCTGTCTGTGAAGACGGGTCCGGTTGGTGCCGTCAGGCTTCCTGGCCTGAGTTTAATAAGTACACTCCGGCAGTCTCCTCTGACATCAGCATAGGAATTAGAGGCTTATTTGCCTAAGGCCTACCGGCCCCTGGAAATACAATAGTGGATGAGACAGTCCTTGGCCTCGTAAGGGTCACATCTTGAAGGATGGACAAAGAAACAGGCAGTCGCACCACCAGTGTAAGTCCAGTGGTGGCAGAGCCTCGAAGGACTGTGGGAGCACAGGGAGGGGGCCTCTAGCCCAGGCAGGGGCTGCAGAGAGGGCTTCCTGGAGGAAGTGGCATCTCAGCTGAGACCAGAAAGAAGAGAGGTGGAAGAGTATCCCCAGCAGAAGGAACAGCATGTGCAAAGGCCTAGAGGTGAGAGAGTGCCCATTACGTTTGAGGAGCCAAATGTTCATTCTAGCCTGATCCTCGGGTGCGAGGTGGTGGGTGTTGAGCAACAAAGGCAGAGAGGCAGACGGGGAGACCTGGGGGAGGTCTTGGAGGGCCTTGAACACTGTGACTAAAGGTTTGGACAGTGGCGGGGCTCAGAGAAGGTGCTCACGGAATGTTCGTGGACGCCTGCAGCCCCATCCGAGGACAGTGATGGGTGCCCAGCAGGCAGGGGTGTGGTCGGGGTACGTTGTAGAGCCAGCTCTCAGGCCACCAGGAGGGTGAGGAAAGAGGCCGAGAGACTGCTGAGAAGGCTGCCTCACCCCGGGAGGGATGAGGGACCAGTGGGGAGGGGGTGCATCTGAGAAGAGATGTTAGACGTTGGACCCACAGGACTTGGGAGCTGGCTAACTCTCTGGGGTGCTCAGGGAAGGAGAAGGGTCTAGAACGACTCAGATTTCTGGCTGACCAAACAGTTGGCGCCGATACAGAGATGGGAACTCAGGAGGGGAGTGAGTTTGCAGGGAAGAAGCATTTGAAGGGCCAGCTGGCACTCAACCACTGAGGAATTAAGTCAGAGAGACTGAGACTCTGACACAAACAACCCAGAGACGGCAGGTGACCCCCGAGTGGGATTCCGAGTGCCCGCCCCATTCAGCAGCCTTGGGCCTGAGACAGGAACCAGAGCTGCCCTCCAGGTCTGCACACAACACGCAGCCTCGGCCCTGCCTCCCAGGGGTCACCTGGGGATGGAGCTCTCCATAGCCAGCGCCCCCACAGTTCACCTGGGAAACCCCAACACGTGCCCCCCTGGGGAGGTCCCAGGGAACCACCACCCTGGACTCTGTGCTGGGGCAGAGCCAGAGAGGGGTCCCCGCTCCCCCTGCGCACTCATCTGAGAGCTGGAGGTGGCACCAACACACACTCACCCCTCGGGCCAGGGGCCACCAGGCAAGAAGTCACCCTGAGGGGCTCCCCGCCCAGCAGCTGGCCCAGGAGTGGATGGAGAGCCTGTCGCGGCCTGAGGATGGCCAGGCCGTGCCCACACCCTGATGCTCTCTGAGGAGGGGGTGTGTGGGGGGGTCTGGGGGGATCCTCTGCCGCCATGCCCACCACGCCCTCAGAAGGAGACTCTGGAGCTTCAGGGAGGGGTGGAGAGAAATGTAGACAGGATTTCCTGCCAGCTGCTGGCAGCTCATGAGGTCCCATCTCAGGCTGGCTGCTTTGGGGGCTCCACTGGGAGGACAGCAGCCTTGCAGAGGGTGCCCCGGCATCTCCCAGCCTGGTCCTGTTCCGGTCGTGGAGGGAAGTCCCGTGGCATCTCCGCGTCCTCTCCCCATGCACGGCCTGCACTCTGCTCCTCTGGAGCCTGGGGTACCTTCAGTGGCGTTCCCTGAGCATCTCAGAGCTGTAGGGTCCCGGGGTGTGAGATCGGGAAGCCCTGGCTCACTATCTGGTGGGGAGACAGAGGGACGAGCATCTTCTGCTGGGAGTGGAGACATGAGCTTGACCAAGATGGGAAAGTTTTGGGGGACCCAGGAGCGAGGGGCTGAGTCAGGGCAGGAAGAACCCGGGCCTGGACGGGGAGTTAGAGTTTCTGCAGACAGAGAGGGGAGGGAGGGCAGCCCAGGGGCCGAGGCGGGGGCCGAACTCCAAGTGTCAAGTGGAACGTGAACCAACGCCCTCCTTACTCTGCACCCTCGTCTCTGTCTGGAGAAATTGTCGCTGGGGTTTCCGAACAGCTTCTCAGAGGCCCTGCGTGTGAGTGTGTGACCCTCAGAGTTCGGCTCTGCTCACCGAACGTGCAGGAACGTGGACTCAGAGAGGTGTCACCAGATAGAGCCAGAAAAGCGGACACACAAGGAGGGTCTGGAGTCCATGACAGCAGAGGAGGACCCTGTGCTGCTAGAAATGACACAGACGGGACATCCAGGCAGCACTGTGGGGCAGCTAGTTCATCCGCATCTCCTCTTTCTCACTGTCCCTCTGTCCCCTACAGCCAGGCCATCCGGGAGCTGCAGGAGGAGGTGGCACGGCTCCGTCTGCGGCTGGAGGACAGTCTGCACCCGCCGGCCCCAGGCAGCCCCACGCGCCCTGCGTCTGCCTTCAACCGCCCTGCCCGGGCCCGCGCCCGTCCAGCCGAGGCCTCAGCCCCCTGGGGCCCCCACTGTGGCAGGTGGGTGACCCCAAATGCCCGCCCCTGTGCCCTCGTGAAGGCGCAGAAGCTAGACTTGGCCAGCCTCGGGGGATCTCCCCAGACATGTGGCCTCAGGCACAGCCACACCCCTGTCTCACTCATTCACTCCATCATTCACTCATTCACTCCATCATTCACTCACTCTGACATGGTTTTACTGTGTAATATTTGATGCATAAAAGAATATATTGAACATACGTGTTAATAATAAAGCAAAATACAGCGAACATCCCTGAACTCACCAGCCAACTCTGAGCCAGCCGATCTCCAGGACTCTCAGCGTCTCACCCACCCACTCTGTCATCATTCACTTACGATGACATAAAATCAGCTAACTTCTTCTGTTTCTATGAGAGGACACTCCCTGAAGGGGTTTACGGACATTGTCTCATGAATCGTTCTAACAACCTCTGAGGCAATTGCTTTCCTTATCCCCATTTGACAGATGAGGAAACTGAGGGTCAGAGAGGCTCAGAGCCATTTTCTGGGATTCTGACTCCAGGGTGTTTGGTTGGGACCCTGTGCCCTCTCCTCCCATTATGTTATAAGCATATGTTATAAGGTTCTCTCCTGCTCACTTTTGAAGGCTTCATAAACCTCCTCCAGTGACATCCTCTCTCTCTCCCTTTTGCTAGTAAATCCACAGAGAGACTGTCTGGTGAGCCTGGAGGTGCCGAGCCAGCTGTCCCGGCAGGAAGGCGGCGGGCCAGGTCCTCCTCGGTGCCTCGGGAGGTGCCCCGACTGTCCCTGAGTAAGTGACCACCTGCCAGGGCTCATTTCAGGTGGCCACAGTCTGGGCGCGTCGGCTCAGTGGTCAGGGCCCACAGCAGCAGCCTTGGAGGAGAGTTGGAGAAGGTTTTTGTGTGTCTGTTGTAGGCGATTGTAGTGTCTGGAGCACAGTGCTCCTCCAGCAAGAGCCACTGTCCCTCAAGGGGCTTGCATATGTCTCCTCTTGCTGAGTCTTCACTGCAAGATGGGCTGCACTGTCCACATTGTGCAGTTGAGGACCCAAGCCTGACGGCGCAGAGAACCTGCCTGAGGGAGCTCGGCTCCACACTCAGTGCCTGGGGCCCAGCCCCAGCTCCCTCCTTCCTGGCCCTGTGACCTTGGCCCGGGTGCTGCCCTGCTCCGTGCAGTTACAGGCACAGCTAATAGTGCGGTACCAACAGCATCCCCTTCCTGGGATGGCTGTGAGGGTGCACCGCACGGCGCCTGCCCGGTGTCCAGACCAGCGCTGAGAACGAGGTCAGGGTTGGGAATGTGTCTGCTCTCATTACTAAGGGGCAGGTCTGGACTAGCTACACCCATGCCCAAGCCAGTGGACCCACCCCGGCCCCTCTGATGTTCTTCTCTGTCCACCCCAGGTTCGGAATCTGAGCCAGCCTCCCTCCGGCTATTCTCTGAGAAGAGCAGGACCACCACGGACAGCCCACCCACAGCTGGGGACGGAATGAGAGGAGTGGGCAGCGCCAGACGGCCAGATCGGGTCACCTTCCGGGGCCAGTACACAGGTCAGGAAGGGAGGGCGGGGTGGCATGGTCCCCAGGGTGGTCTTCTCTGTCTTGAGCAGCCCTTTCTGAGACCCAGGGGCCATTCACATGTTACCACTTTCTCTGCATCCGTGATATGAAGTCATCTGGGAGGGCTGCCTCTGAGAATCTCAGGGCATTTGTCCATCAGTCATTCAGCAAACAGTTTCCAACGCCTCCGTGCCCCAGGGCCCATGCGTGGTTCTGGGAGCCCATGCAGCTGTCAATCATAAGGAGGGTCAGGAAGCACCTGCTGTGGCAGGACCTGGGCTGCAGGTGAACACAGAATCATCTACTCCCGCCCGAGCTCCAGGGCTGGGTCCCCGGGGACCCTGGGTCATGAACCAGGCACCCCGCACAGAGTCAGGCTCCAGATGACACACAGTAGGATTTCAAAGTGCTTAACATTGAAACCTGCCAGTGCTGGGCAGAGTGCCTCGTGGATCCAGCCCCATCCAGTTCCCCCAACAAGCCTGTAACACGCGCACCATGACTGTCTCCATCTTACAGCCCCTGGAGCACAGGGAGCAAACCCTGCTGCCCCCAGGCCCGAGCCCTTCCCATCCCAGCCAGCTGGTTGGGGTCCCGCGGGAGCTTCCCTCTGCCCTTGCTGAGCCCGGCTTCCTGGGCTGCTTTCACATCCTGACCGAGCTTGGGTTTGTTGACTGCTTCTGTGGGTCACGAACCAGGCAGCTGGTACCCAAGTAGGATGTGGGATGCAGCAGGAGTCTGGGAGAGCTTACAATAAACAGACACATAAATATGTTTTTATGTACATGTGTATATGTGCACATATACTTACATATCTACGTATTTATGCACATATATTACGTGTGTGTGTGCGCACACAAAGAGAGAGTGTGCAAACGACCTGGAGGGAGAGGAGAGAGCATTGTGCCACCTGCTCCAGCTCCACACCCTCCCAGAGTCACGCCCACTGTTCTGGTTTCCTCCCCAGGCCAGGAGTACCAGGTGCTGACCCCCAAGACTGTCCCCAGAGGCAGTGGCACAGCCTCCTGTCCCCACTGCCAGCCTGTCAGGACCCAGGATGCAGGTGAGGGACGGTCCCTGGAGAGGTGGCCAGGGTACTGAGGCTGTAGCTTCCTCTCTCCGGGAGGGAGCACTGGCCGCTGGGGGCGCCCTAGCTCAGTGGGGGTCAGGCACAGACCAAGAAACCGGACTGTTCTGGGCTTCCGGGCCCTGCAGGGCATCCCGCCCTCACCCCTATGGCTCCGGGGGCCGCCACCTGAAGCTGCCCTTCTGGGATGGGGAGCACAGGGTGGGGCAGGGAGCACGTGACTCAGCCTGGGGCTGGGAGGGCTTCCCAGAGTGGGTGGTGGCTGGCTGCTCTCATCATGCCCCCATTTTATCTTGGCCAATCAGTCAGCCTCTTGGAGCCTCAGTTTCCCCGTCTGTAAACGGGGCAGTGATGAGAGGAGCCAGCCCAGGGGCTTGTTGCATCTGATAAAACAATGCAGGAAGACCCTGAGCAGAGGGCCAGGCTCATGCGAGGCTGACTCTCACTGTCCTGGTTGCCATGGATACTGTTGTCCCCGGTGGGGGCAGCGCGTCTCCAGGCAGAGGTCCCTGAGGGCAGCCTGGGGCTGCGGGAGGCCTGTCTGGGGGTTCAGGCCTGAGGGTTCAGATACACCTTCTCCTGATGTCGCTTCCTTCTCTTCTAGGCGGTGCTGCCCCCAGGGACCCACCGGGACCGTCTCCCACAGACGTCCTGCGCTGTCCCCTGTGTGGTGGAGCTGGGTCCCGCCCAGAGGGGGACGCTTCAGATCCTCCCACCTCTGGTAGGATGGGGCTCAGTCTCCTCTCCCAGTAGCCCCCAGCTCTCCTGGATGGGGGTCGGGGCCCTGGCGGGTTTAGACGGGGCGCGCTTCCCCAGTCTGGGACGGAGCGAATGGGGCAGAGGGCTGCTTCCCAAATCGAGGCCTCCCAGGAGCCACCCCGTGTCCCGTCTACCGAGCAGGGGCCAGGCGACCTTCTGCTCTCTGCCTGACCTTCCCCAGGAGTCAGACTGAGTCCCTGTGCTGTCCCTCCCCACAGGGGCAGAAAAGGCCTCCACGAGGGGATGCGCACCTGCGACTTCCAGCCCCAAGCAGAGGAGCCAGCGGGTGGGCTCGCCGTCCTGGCCACCCCCCGGACTGTGGTATCTGGCCGCCGCGCCCTCAGCACCACCCACTCCCGCGTTGGCCTACGTCTCCCCGGTTCCCGTCCTGCCTTATCCATCAGCCACTGTGTAAGCACCTTCCATTCCCACCCTCCCAGCCTCTCTCTGTGTCTAATGTGCAGAACAAGCCGGACACTCGTGTAGTCACTCAACAAACCCTGAATGCACCCTGTGTACCAGGCGCTGGGACCCAGCGGTGAAGGCGCCTGGCAGAGGGCCCTGGCATCTAGGAGCTGACAGCCTCGGGGGTCTAGAACCCTAACCATCCTCCATTTCCTCATGGGTCTTCTCAGCGAGCAAGAAAAGTGTGCTCATGTTTTTTTTAAACGGCTTTATCTTGTAGAACAGTTTAGGTTTATAGAGAAATCGAGCAGTGGTACAGAGTTCCCATGTGCCCCCACACATGCAGTGTCCCCCATATTGACATCGGACGCTAATATGGGGCATTGGCACAGTTGGTGAGCCATGTAAACACTGTTAGTAACTGAAGCCCACAGGGTATTCAGGTTCCCGCAGTTGTCCCTGAAGCCCCATCTCTGCCCCAGGCTCCACCAGGACCCCACACACTCACTCCTCACGGCTCCTGGGGCTCCTCTGGCTGTGACAGGTGCTCAGTCATCCCTTGTCCCTCATGACCTGACAATCTGGAGGACTGACTGTCAGGCTCGAGGATTTGATGGAACCTCATCAGGACAAAAAGACGCAGCGGGGTAGGCGGAAGGGGGTCAGGCCCAAGAGTCAGTGCTCCCTGGGGTCCCGTCGGCCACCTCTTAGTGCGGTGGCCTCGGTCAGGCTGCCTCCTCGAGGAGCCTCAGTTTCCCCATCTGTGAAGCGGGGGATAGCCTCCATCACCACAGTGGTGTGACGGTGACGTGAGGCTGTGACAAGGACCACGGCCGTGACTGTGGAGCTGATAGCGCAGTGCCCGCACCTGCTCACCGCTGGATACCCCCGCAGGTCTCCCGACCCCAATGTGGTCCCTGCCCTGCAGGCGAGTTGGGGCGGGTCCTTAGGGAAGCCTGCTCCATCCACTGCGAGAGGCCACGGCGCATGCGCAGGCCTGCGCGGAGCTCGTGGAGATGCCCCCTGTGACCCGCTCATCTGGCAGGACAGCCTCCCTGGGATTTGGGAACCAGGATGCAGCTCTGAGCGCCCGTGGGAGCCAGGGGTCTCTCCACTTCCGAGGCCCTTCGTTCCATGTCCTTCGAGGCTCAGGTCTGTGGACATCACTAGCCAGGCTGCGCTCCCCAGGCCTGGACGGACGCGGGGAGGGGAAAGGCCCTGGTCCTTAGTGCCTGACAGACCGCCAGTAGGAGCCTTGTCACCTTGGGCGGGTCACACTGCTCCTCTGGGCCTCAGTTTCCCCTCTGTGAAGTGGGCTGTAGTGAGGATCAAGTGAACTAGTGTCTGGAGGACGCATCGTACACGGAGGGCGGCCGGTACCCACAGCGCAGCTGACGCTGCTGAAATTGGCCCTGATTGTGCCCAGGAGAGTCTCCAGCTGTCAATCAGCAGACTGCGCATGCTCAGTGGCCGCGGCCCTGCGCTTCAGGAAGCGGACCGGGCCTGCGCTGCCCCCTGCTGGTCGGCCGCCGCACAGCGCCTGCGTCGGAGGCTTTCAGGCCGGGATGGCTTTTTGTTGGTTTTCTGTTTGGCTGTTTGTGTTTTCGTTCTTGCCTTTTTTTAGCTCTGCCCGTGGGGAGTTTTGGGTAACTTTCAGGCCGAGCTGGTCCTCCAATTCTCAGAAGGTCGGGGTGTGTGGGAGCCCAGCAGTCACCCCGCATAGTGCCCGAAGGAGGGAGGAGGATTCAGAAGCCTGTTTATTGGGTTCAGCTGATTCGGATCAGCATCTCCTGGGAGCTCAGTGGCTCCGGGTGTGGACCCAGCCCTGCCCGCCCAGCCCTCCGGTCATGGGCCTCAGTGGCTGCACGTACAGAGCGTTTCCGTGGCCAGGCCACGGACAGAGCTGTTAGCTAGATGATCCTGTGGGATCTCCCCGGGGACGCGGCTCCATATGGCTGTTTCCGGTGGGGAACCAGAGCCCTTGCAGGAGGAGAGGCTGGGCCAGGGTCCTGCTGCTGGAGGGGAGCATCGGTTCATGGCTTGCTGGTTATCTGTGTGTCTTCTCTGGAGAGACGATGTTCAGATCCCAGCAAAGCCCCTTTCTCACTCTGTCCATAATGGAGCTTAGAGAGTGGGGGGTCAGCAATGAGAGCAGAGTTCACATCTGCCGGGCAAGACGCCAGGGAAAGACTCCAGCCGGGTCCTCCCTCCTCCTTCCTGCTTTATTTGGGCAAGCTGCTTCTTTTCCCTCTGTCTCCCTGCCACACTTTATTCCAGACACAGGGTCACGCCCTCTTCTTGCCCATCACCACTTTCTAGGAACCCTACACTGCATGGCCTCCAATGAATGCAGGAGTCACTCCCTAGAAAATGGGTGCTGCATCTCATGAGGTCGGCCCATGGTCCTCAGACTTTAACCCACCAGCCCAAGTCCTGCAGGGCCAGGCTGGGCAGGGACCTCTCCACCTGCTGGCCTGGGTGAGTGGACCAGACCTGCTGCCTCCTGCAGACCCCTAACTGTTCTTACCACGTTGTTCCAGTGCCCCCCACTGGCACGCGGGACTCCCGTATGTGACCTCTGTCATGAAGGGGGTTTTCTGCAGAGCCTGGGGTGATCCTGGTCTCCCTGAGATCTGGCTCTGGGATGAGAAGCTCCAAGGAGGCCTCAGGGTCTGTGTTGTTCATTCCCCATTGAACCCCAGGGCTGAGCACATGGGCTGGCACGTGCTCTGTGGTGAGGAAATATTAAATGAATGGGCAGATTGAACTACTCCTTCCTGAGCCCCTGTTCGGGGTCAGACACGCCTGTTTTCTTCCTTCATCTTTCTAACACATCCCTCCAACTAGGCCTTTACTCTTCCCATTTAGATGTGGAGAAACTGAGGCCCAGAGCATCAGGATCAGAGGTCCAGTGGGGCCTTAGGACGGTTGGCTCCAAACCCCGGCTCCTTGGCGCCCCTGCCCTCTCTGTGGCTGACGCTCTCTCTGCCCTCTCTCCTCAGGTTCTTCACGTCCCCAGGACCTACCTCAGCCCGACCAGCCTCCGAGTGGCACTCCTCTTCCTCCGCCCGGCCGGCCAGGGGCCCCCGGCACTCCGTCCAGCTGGACCTGGAGGACCTGGAGGCCCTGCACCAGGCCCTGAGCCGCGCCGTCGGGGCGGCCGAGCGCGTGCGCTCCCGCAGCCGGCAGCTGAGCCGCGCCCTGGAGGCTGAGCTGCGCCAGGCCCCCAGCCTGCGGGGCTCCTGTCCCCTCTGACCCCACTCGGGGCCAGGGACCCACGGGGCAGGGTACAGGCCGCCACTGTCTCTGGGCGAGGAGTCAGCTGAAGCCCCTTCTGAAGGCCCCGGGGACCCTCAGGAGGAGGCCCCCCAGCACAGGCCCTGCCTGCTCAGCCTCAGTGTTCTCAGACCAGAAGGGGCAACAGGCTGGTCATCAAGAGAAGTGGCTGCCCAGGGGACCAGCCCTGGAGCATCTGCTGGGACCGAGACCGCCCTCCGTCCAGGCGCCACCATGGGGGCTCCTCGTCCTGCACTTGTCAACCACCTCCAGCCAATAATATGGATTTATAGACGGATGGACAGATGTTGTAAACTGAGGAGGGCTCCTGTCTTGCATCCTCTGTAGGAGGCCGGAGAAGAAGGGAGAGGCCAGGGGCTCTGGGGCACACCTGCCACTGACTGTCACCAGCCTCTCCGGAGCAGCTGTCTCTGGGACGGACGTGGCTGGGAACCCTCCCCTGGTGACTGGTGGCCCATGGGGCACCTTGAGACCACTGGGCCGTTGTAGGATGGCAGCGCTGAGGGTGACGTGTGTCCAGCCTCCCTGTGGGTGGTGAGGCCTTTCCCAGGGGCTCCAGGGAGAGACACACCCACGGAGGGCCCAGGAAGCAGGCCGCCACGGTCCCTCCCACACCTCCTCTGAGACCCCGCTCTCCCCCGGGATCCCAGGGACTCTGGCCAGTGGGCAGCTCCTCCCAGGCCGTGTCCTGCCCCCACCCTTGTAGCAGCGCGTACCTCAGCTCTTCTGGAATGTGTGTTCATTGATGATATTTGTATATTTGAGGCATTTAAAAATCTATTTTCGTTACGATGGCAAATGAAGAGAATGAATATGAAGCTCTAAAAAGAGAAAAGTAAGCCAAAAAAACCCCCCAAAACGTTCCCTAAGGTGCCCAGGTCTGTGGTGTGTGTCCTCAACTTGTGGTCCCTAAAGTCAAGTGTGTGGGGGGCGGTTGGACGCTGAGGGCCCCCCCCAGGGGGCCTGCTGGGTGCACATTCCCAGACTCCTCCTGCCTCCCTCTGGTGGCTTCTGTGTCTCCTACTTTTCCCCTCTGCCTGTCAGAGCCATAAACCTTTCGACTGGAGGGGCCTGCGAGGAGGGGCCATCTGGCCAAGCCCCTTTGTGTGGAGGCCCGAGATGCTACGAGACACACAGCAGAGCGGTGTCTGCAAACGCTTGAGCCTGGACTCTCCCTCCAGTGCTCCTTTTAGTAGCAAACAGCAAGCACAGCTGCTGTTCTCTGAGCGCCTCCCAGTCTCCAACCCCTGAGCTGAGTCCTCGGTGGGTCATCCCCACACAGCACACACACCACCCTCCAGGTTCCCATTGGGTCCCGTCTTATTGGTGAGTAGACAGAGGTTCCGGTGGGCCCTCTGCCCGCGCTCACCATGCTCAGCCTCCAGGTCCGTATCCCTTGTCACTGTCTGTTTCTTCCTCATCGCCATCGTTTTCTCTCCCCGCCTCCTGCTGCTTCTTCCCGTGGCTTTTTCTTCAGTCTCCCCACCTCGCGATTCCCTTGCCTCCCCCGCCCTCCAGGACGCACTTCTCTCTCATCGTTCGGCTGGGCCTTCTCGGGAGAGTTGGAATCGGCCTCTTGCTGAAGCCGACTCTGGGATGGGAAGACCCTTCGAGGCTTGAGCCTCTGAGTCCAGAGCCTTCTGGGAGCCAAGTGGCTGTTCCCAGATATCAGGATGGGAAAGGGGAGCCCGGGGTGGCCAGGGCCGTGTCCCCACCCTCAGCCCCTAGCAGTGTCTCCAGCTTCAAGAAAGGATGCTGAGTCTTGGGTGTGTGCAGCTGGCTCTTTGGTGGGTGGTGGCATGTGAGCGCAGGACTGGGCATCAGGCGCGGGGTTGGGACCTGTCGCTCTGAAGGCTGAGGCCGCTCATACGTGGCATTGCCTGGAAAATTCGGCCCTGACATTCCCGCCCCCCCGAGTGGAGCAGCTGCCCTCCCATGACCACAGACCCGGAGCCCTCAGGCTGGGAGGAGGCGGCCTTCCTTGCTGGCCCCTGTTCAGGTGCGCATCAGCCTCTTCCTGCCACGGGATGGGCTGCCTGCCATGGGGCCCTGTCCCAAGGGTGCAAACACATTGCAGGACGGCTGGCTCCCGGGGGCCACCTCCCACTGGGTGTCGTGTCCTCCTCCTGTGGTCAGGCAGGTGTCTGAGGACATGTCACAGAGACACACGGCACCTCGGTCTGAGGCCCCAAGCCCTGCGTCCCCTGAGTCTGCCCTGATCGTGGCACAGGCCACCGCCATTGCCAGGAATGCTCCTGACAGCCTCTCCTTGGGTCTTCCTGCCTCCAGTCTGGCCCCTCATCCCACACCTCCCCTGATGGCCAGGGGGATGTCCTTAATAGTGGCCCTCGTGCTTGAACTACATGCCTGAGTCCTCCCTGCCCCTCGTCCACCTGAACCCCTACGTGAGGTCCTCCGCCTCAACTTCCTCAAACGCGTCCTCCCAGATCCTTCAGCTGCCACGGAAACAGTGGTATCCAGTGCCTATCTTTCCCCACTGGTTCAGACGCCTCTTCCAGGCAGCCCACCCAGAATTCCCCACACAGGGAATCGTCCCCAAACTGAGATTCCACTGGGCTCAGGTACGTGGTCATCTGTCCTGGCACGTGTACTGGGGCTTCCAGCGGGGGCCCTTCCAACCAGGGGCAGGGCCTTGTCCAGTGCTCGGCCAGGACTCAACTCAGGGCGGGCTTCAACGGGAATAAATGAATGAAGGAGCAAATGACGGACTGAGTGAATGACAACTGCCTGTCCCAAAGGCAGAAGCTTTATTGTTGCAAGAGAGGGAAGGAACGGAGGTACAAAGGGTGGGTGGGGGCTGGAGACGCCCCCAAGTCCCCGAGGCCCGAACCCAGGACTGCATCCTCCTAGGCCTCCTCCTGTTTCTTCTTCCTTTCTTCCTCATGCTGCTTCTCCAGCGGCCCACACTGATCCTAGAAGATGAGGAGAGAGAGCACAGTGACGGGGAGGGCGGGGGTCCCTGGGGGAAGATGGGATGACTTGTGACTATGGTGCAGCCCACCCAGGGCTCCAGCCTGGCTCTGCCACTTCCGAGCTGGGTGACCTTGGGTGAGTCACTTTCCCTCTCTGAGCCTCAGCTTGTTCATCTCTAAAACAGGGCCTCAAACCCTTAGGAAGAGCTGGCATTTGCCGAGCACTTATGACCTGTCAAGCCCTCGTGCTGACCTCCTGCATTCTCACCACCATTGTGCAGATGGTGCAACTGAGGCTCTGGGCGGCTGCGTGACCTCTGAGGTCCCCCTGCCAGGAGATGGGGAGGCAGACTACAGGCCACGGGACCACCTCCAGTGCCTGTGTCCATCAGCCCTTTCCCAGGGTTCCCGGCCGCAGAGGAGGGGGGATTTGTGCCACTGGTGTCACAGGAGCTGACCTCAGGTGCAAACCACTGGGGATGAGTTTATTTTAATGAGCATGGGAGTATTTCATGTACATCCACAAACGTGTAACTGCTCATCGACTCCCGGGTCCCAGGTGTTGTGGCCTCGGACAGACCAGGTATAGCCGTGCATGTCACACAGGATAAGGGACAGAATTAGGGAGACCGTCACACAGGGAATTCTCAGTTAAAGCAAAAGTCGGGACAGTGCTCCTGGACCCGCTGCAGCTCGAGTGACGCTGAGAACCACAGCCCGACTCTCTCATGCACACGTGTTAGCACCGTCATGAACCGGGGGTGTGGCAGGCAGCTGTAAACGCCAGTTCCCCACGTGCTTCTCTTTCCCAGCTTCCCACCACCACACCCCAGCCACACTCTTTGCCTCCCATGAGTCCTTACAATCCCCTGCTCTCTCCAGCGTCCTCCCTAATTTTCAGTGAGTGTTCCCTCCTGGGCTCCCGTCCACCCCCGAGGGCCTCTGGGAAACGCAGCTGTCCCTGCAGAGTGGCAGGTGCTTAAAGCAGGATATCCTGCCTCCTTGTGCAGCCTTGGCTGACAGCTTTCCCTCTCTGGGCCTCCAAGGCTGCCCCAGGCCCAGCTGCCCAGGTCTCCTTGCGTTCACCTTTTTCTGATCAATGTAGACAATTTTCGACTTCTCAATGCCAATGCACCCGATGGCTTCATGGAACTCACTCATTTGCTCCTGAGTCACATCCAGTGTGTCCGCTGCAGGAGGGAGCACAGGGGCTGGGTGAGGATGCTAGGAGCCTGGGTGGGCGGCCAGGGAAGGCCAGGGTTCTGGGGGCCCAGCCCCAAGAACAGAGGGTCCCAGGGTGAGGCATTGGTGGGCGGGGGTTGGAGGGTCACCTACCGTACAAGGACAGCCCCAGGTTCTCCTTATCATCCGGGAAGTAGAGAATCATGAAGGTCTTGGGGTCCTTGGTGAGCAACACGTTGCCAACATATTCTTTGCCCAGCACTGGAGGAGGAAGCCTCTGGTGAGACCACAGGGATGGCACCGTGGTTCCCATCTCACCTGCAAGGGTGCTTGTGTGTCCAGGGCCACACAGCCAAGGGGTGACTGCCAGGGGCTCACTTGGGCCCCATGTCCCTGGCTCCTACTGTGCGCCAGGCCCTGCAGGAGCCCATTCCTCGTGTGGAAGCCCAGGAGCTGCACGCGGACTGTGGCCATCAGCCACTTCCTCCCCGTTTTGCAGATGAAAACGAGGCCTGGGGAGGGACCCGGGGCTGCTACATGCTGTGGGTCCACGTCCATCGCCATCCTGTGCTCCTACTATGTGCCCTCTCTGCAGTGATGGTGCGATGGGGGTGAAGTCACTGCCTGCCCAATGCGCAGGCTGCCCCCTTAGTTACCGGGGGATAGAGATGGATGATTGAGAGGCGGCACGGAGCCAGCCTGGGGTTTCATCCGAGGTCTCACTGCAAGTGTGTGACCTCGGGAAACTACTTGACATCTCTGTTTTCCTGTTTGCTCCTCTGATCACCTAATGTCCTCCTAGGGTTGTCTGTGAGAATTAAGTGGGTTAAAGCATGCCAGGGGCTTCAAGGTGCTGGGCACAAAGTAAGAACTCAAAACTGGTGACTATTACAGTGTGCAGGTGCCAGGACCAAGGAGACAGAAGAAGCAGGCCTGTCTCGTATTCTCTGTGTCCACAGCCCCAAGGGCTTTGGTCTCATCCCCTCCTGTAGACTGGCCCGCCCATGTCCTCCCCATTCCACACAGCCGCTCTGTGCCCGAGGGCTGCCCTCACCTTGTTTGGATAAGGTCCCTTTGTCCCGCTGGACGTTCAAGATGCTGAAGTCATAGTAGCACTGGTTGTCACTAGGGCTAGAGTGAAGGGGCAAGAAAAACAGTTAGTCAGTCAAGGAGAAGTGGACAATCACCCATCACAGACACCTGGGGTCAGGAGTCTGCTGGCAATTGGGGTCAGCCCTCCCCATTCCATGGAGGGGAAGGCTGAGGCCAGGAAGGGGGCAGGACTTGCTCCAGGTCCCCTTCGGCTCAGGGTAGAAGCCAGAAACTGGGGCTGGGCTGGGCGTGTGGGGGTCTCACATGGTCGAGTACTCCCTGAGCTGTATTGTGTCCTCCCTCTTGTTGGGGGTTAAGTGGAAGTAGGCCGCCTGGAGCTTCTTAGCTGTCTCATGGTACTCAGGGTCGCGGGAGGCTGATGCGATATAGAACCACTTGCCAGAGATCTGGGGAGAAGCCAGGAGCAGGTGAGGGAGGCTGGGAGCCGGAGTCTCGATGGTCCACAGGACAAGACTCCAGCACACCTCTCCCTCCAGTTTGCAAACAGGGTGATGGGGGCCCAGGTGAGGAGAGGACATGCAGGAGCTCACACTGAGGGTCAGACACCCCCCCACCCCAGTCACTCCTCTTTGCCCAGGACAGAATTGTCCCCTGCTGGGGACCTGACAACGAGGCTACTGAGTTGGGAGGCAGAGGAAGGCCACTGGAGGCTGGTCAGAATTTCACCCCCAGAGCCACGAGAGGAAAGGGCAGAGTCAGAGGAGGGGGCTGACCACAAGCCAGCAGGGGAGAGGGAAGCCCAGAGAGGGAGGCATCTGCCCACAGGGCCCAGCACTCACACGGTCCAGGGTGGCATCAGTGAGAGGTGCAGCCCTGAATTTGTCACAGTCCAGGCTCTGTGCGTCCAGCAGAGGAAGGAGGCTCAGGACGGCGAGGGCCCAGGGCAGCAGCATGCTGAGAAGGGGAGGCACCTGGAGCCAAATAGAACTGGTGGCTGGAGGGTACAGTGACCTGTATAAGGCGCTGTGGGCACATGTGACACAATCTGTTAATGGGGAAATGCCTTGCACAAAACCTTCCCTTCTTACCCAAAAGCCAGCTCTTGGTAAAGCCTCTAAGCCCAGGTCTAACTTGGGTCCCTAACCTGGAGGTCTGGCTGTTCAAGGCCAAGGTGGGTGTGGGCTGCACGGATATTTGCTAACTTGTGGATTTCAGTAGATGAGCCTCTTAGCAAGCTCTCACAGTTTCATCCAATTCCTGTCCCACTGACTTGAGAGGGACCCAGCCATAGATCAGATGTTGAAGGAAACTTAGAGCCCCAGGCTCTCATGGGGAGTAGGGGTGACGGGCGGGGGAGGATTTGGGGGTTGGGGTGATGGCAAATAGGGATTGAATTCAACAGAGTGTGGTGACAACGTGAAAGAGCAAATGTCCAGAGGGGCCGACCCAGTCTTAGGGACAGGGACACTTCCCAAAGAAGGGACCCTCTATGCTGAATGTCTACTTCCACAAAATGTGTTACTTGAACTATCTCTGAACATCCAAAGCAGGAAATTATCCTGTGTTTTCTCCACCCCCAGCTATGCGAGCAGAGAGACATCCTGTCTCTTTACCAGGTCATCCCAATCCTAGAGCAGTGCCCAGCACTGTGTGGTCTCAGCAAAAACTCTGGGACGAATAATTCCATTGCTCATTTGCAATTCTACCTCATGGGGTCCAATCTTCATCCATATGAATCAATACTTTGCAAAAGTACTATATGAGGAGAGACATCAGCATCATGGCAGAGTGAGCTCTCTGCTTAGACTCTCCCTCTATGATCCAGTGTAAAGGACATTCATATACCAACAGAGGACCTTCACACAACACAAACGACATCTGAGAGACGCTTGCAGCCATACGTCTGAAGGTGGTGGTGCTGGACTCCCTGGAAGAAGTGGAAGGAAGGTAAGGAGATCACCTCTCCCTCCTCCAATGACTTGGGACAGCATGGCTATGAAGGGAATGTGGGAGGAGTGGCCGTCCATGGGAATACCTTCAGTCTCCCAGTTCTCTCACTGCCCGTGGGAAAGCACCACACAGAGCTGACTAAGCTCTTGACTCCTACGCAGGGCCGCAGATAGAAGCTGTGATCAGATATTATCACTATGTGGAGGCAGAAATCCATGCCCTCAAGCAGTATGAAAAAATATATGAACTCTCCAGACTACAAGGAAAATGACAAGCACCTAGAAATTCATCCTGAAGGCCCTGAAATTTATAATCTAAATGACAGAGAATTGAAGAAGCTATCATAAAAAACCCTCAAATGGATACAAGAAAATACAGATCGACAGTTCAATGGAAAAAGGAACTTCAGCACAAAAGAGATTGAAACTATAAAGAAGAACCAATCAGAAATGTTGGAGATCAAAAACACACTGAGTGAGATAAAGAAAAATCTAGATTCCCTGAGTAACAGATTTGACACTACAGAGGAGAGAATCAGCATTCTGGAGGAAGGAAATATAGAAATGCTTCCAGTGGCGGAGGAGAGAACTAAGACTAAACAGAAATGAAAAGTTCTCCTGGAAATATCCGACTGAAATGGAAATGCAACAGAAGGATTATAGGTCTTCCAGAGGGAGAAGAGAAGGAGAAGGCAGCAGAAAGCTTGTTCAAAGTAATAATAGCAGAGAATTTCCCAAACCTGGGAAAGGAGCAGGAAATACAAGTGAAAGAAGTTGATAGGTCTCCTAACTGAATCAACATAAAAAGACCTTCTCCAAGGCATATGGTAGTAAAGTTGGCAAAAGTCAAAGATAAAGTAAAAATATTAAGGGCAGCAAGGCAGAAGAAAATAACTTACAAGGCAGCCATACAGGCTTTCAATATTTCTTAGCAGAAACCTTATAGTCTAGGAGAGAGTGGAATGATATATTCAAAAGTGTGAAAGACAAAAACTGACAGTTAAGAATATGCTATCCAGTGAAAATATACTTCAGTTATCATGGAGAAATAAAAACATTCCCAGATACACAAAAGCTGAGGGAGTTCATCGCCACAAGACCCATGCGTGAGAAGAAATGCAGAAGAAGGTTCTTATGCCTGGAGAAAAAAAAAACAAAACAAAGAACAAAAAAAAGGACCGGGTTACAAAGCCTTGAGTCAGGAGATAAATATGTAGACAAAATCAGAAAACTTCAGGACTCTATCAGAACAGGTTAGCAAACACTGAATTATAACATTAAAGATAAAGGGAAGGAAAACAAAAAATAAATATAATCTCCTCATTTTGACCACAAACTCACAACACAACGTGGAATAGGTTGTGAAAAGAACAACTTAGAAGAAGAAGAGGAAAGGGAAGGAATGAGCTTAGTCTAAGGAAATAAGAGTCCACAAGAAAATGGACTATCTCATCCACGAGATTTTTGACATGAACCTCATGGTAAACACTAAACAAATAATTAGAACAGAAACACAAATGATAGAGAGAAAACTAAGAAAACCATCACAAAAACTACCTAATTGAATTAGTAGTCTGAAATACACAGGATGAGAAACAAAGGACATGCAGAAAGACCAGAAAATAAGTGATAAGATGGCAGCATTAAGCTCTCATATATCAATAATCACTCTAAATGTAAATGGATTGAATTCTCCAATCAAAAGACACAGAGTGTCAGGATGGATTAAAGAATAAGACCCACGAATATGCTGCCTCCAGGAAACACATCTCAGCTCCAAAGACAAACACAGGCTCAGAGTGAAGGGATGGAAGATGATACTCCAAGCTAATGGGAGATAAAAGAAAGGGTGTTACCATAATTATATGAAAGCAGACTTCAAGATAAAACAGGTAAAGAGAGACAAATAGGAGCAGTACATAATGATAAGAGGGACACTCCACCAAGAAGACATAACACTAATAATTCTATATGAACCCAACACAGGCACCCAAAGTACACAAAACAACTATTAACAAACCTAAATGGAGATATTAACAACAAGACAATAATATTAGGGGACCTTAACTCCCCATTTACATCACTTACCAGAATGGACAGATCATCCAGAGAGAAAGTCAACAAGGAAACAGTGGATTCAAACGAAAAACCAGACCAGAGGGACTTTATAGATATAGATAGAACACTCCATCCAAAATGAGCAGAATTCATTCTTCTCAAGTACACATGGAACATTCTCAAAGATAGACCATATGTTGGGAAACAAGGCAAGCCACAATAAATTTAAGGAGATTGAAATCATATCAAGCATCTTTTACAACCACAATGCTATGAAACTAGAAATCAGCTACAAGAAACAAAAGCTAGGAAAGGGAAAAGATGTGGAGACTAAACAACATGCTCCTGAACTACCAATGGATCATTGATGAAATTAAAGGAGAAATAAAAAAAAAATATCTGGAGAGAAAGGAAGATGAAAACACACCATACCAAGTCATACGGGATACAGCAAAAGCAGTCCTAAGAGGGATATTCATAGCAATACCCGCCCGCCTTAACAAACAAGAAGAACCTCAAATAAGCAATCTTAAACTACACCTAACAAGACAGAAAAAGAAGAGCAAGCCAAACCGAATGTCAGCAGAAGGAGGGAAATGATGAAAATTAGAGCAGGAATAAATGCAATTGAAACAAAAAGGACAGTAAAAAGGATCAATGAAACAAGAAGCTGGTTCTTTGAGAAGATACACGAAATTGATAAACCCTTAGACAGACTCACTACAAAAGAAATAGAGAAGGCTCAAATAAGTAAAATTAGAAATGAAAGAGGAGAAATTACAACGGATTCCACAGAAATACAAAGGATTCTACAACAATACTATGAAAAACTATATGCCAACAAATTGGAGAATCTAGAGGAAACGGATAAATTCTTAGACTCATACGACCTCCCAAAACAGAATCAAGAAGAAACACAGAATCTGAATAGACCAATCACAAGTAAAGAGATTGAAACAGTCATCAAAAGTCTCCCAAAAAATAAAAGTCCAGCACTAGATGGTTTCTCAGGAGAATTATACCAAACATTCAAAGAAGATTTAAGACCTATCTTTCTGAAAGTATTCCAAAAAATTGAGGAAGACAGAACACATCCTAACACATTTTACGAGGCCAACATCACCCTGCTACCAAGCTAAGGAACGACAACACAAAGAAGGAAAAGTACAGGCCAATATCGCTGATGAGCATAGATGCAAATATCCTCAACAAAATATTGGCAAACCAACTACAGTAATACATTGAACAGATCATACACCTTGACCAAGTGAGATTTACACCAGGGGCACAAGGATGGTTGTACGTCCACAAATCAATCAACGTGATTCACCACATTAACAAAACAAGGAAAAAAACCACATGATCATGTCAACAGACAAAGAGAAAACATTTGACAAGATCCAACAGCCATTTATGACAAAAACTCTCAATAAAATGGGTATACGAGGGAAGTACCTCAACATAATAAAGGCCATATATGAGAAACCAACAGCCAACATCATACTCAACAGGGAAAAACTGAAAGCCGTCCCTCTGAAAACAGGAAGACAAGGGTGCCCACTCTCACCACTCCTATTCAACATAGTACTTACTGGAGCTTTGGGCCAGAGCAACTAGGCAAGAGGAAGGAATAAAAGGAATCCAAATAGGCAATGAAGAAGTGAAACCCTTGCTGTTTGCAGATGACATGATTCTCTATATAGAAAGCCCTAAAGAATCCATTGGAAAACCATCAGAAATAATCAACAACTACAGCAGAGTTGCAGGGTACAAGATCAACTTACGAAAGTCAGTAGCATTTCTGTACCCTAATAATGAACTAACAGCAAGAGAACTCAAGAATGCAATCCCAAAAAAGGAATAAAATGCCTGGGAATCAATTTGCCCAAGGAGGTGAAAGACCTATACAATGAAAACTATAAGACTTTACTGAAGTAAATCAATGATGACATAAAGAAATGGAAAGATATTCCATGCACATGGATTGGAAGAATAAACATAGTTAAAATGTCCATATTACCTAAAGCAATCTACAGATTGAATGCGATCCC